TAGCGAGTTCGCCCAGGCTGAACCGGTCAATTGGGATGAAGTCGTCGACTTCAACACCCTTCTGGAGGAGATGGACGCTCCTTCCGCCGAAAGGCAAGTACCCTGCCTTCTTGGGCACATGCACAATTCTGATTGTTGCTCACAGCCAGAGCGCGTAATCACCGCCGCCCCGGGTTCTGTACTTAATTCGTTGATGATTCGTTCGCATGATTTTTGTACCAATCTATTCTGTGTGCACTCCGATTTTGCTGCCTGCTCTAAGTGTAAGGGGAAACATTATCATCATGAATTAGGGCCTCTATGGCTTCTTGATTCAGGTGCATCTCTCCATGTGACATCGGAGATTAGTGATCTGGTCGGATATGAGAAGCTCTCAGATCCTATTGTTGCTCAGACCGCTGATAAGAACACACGTGTTGCCCTTATTGGTCGAGGAACAGCCTTCATCGATCATTACGTCACAAGGCATGGAGAAAAGACAATGGTGACTTCTCAGATATATCCAGTGTACCTAGTGCCAGGATTACATGGTCGTCTCATGTCTTTGGGCTCCTTACTCAAAGGAGGATCTCGCGTTCGTGGAGACGAATCGCGGATCAGCTTACATCGAGGGAAGTCCCCACTCTCGATCATGGAGTTTAGAACTCTAGGGAAGGACATTGCCTTGTACTTCCTGATGTCAAAGCCTAGCACGGCTGAGACAGTGCGATCCATGTCCACTGTTTACAAGGTGGATTATGAGATCATGCACCGGCGATTTGCACATCCGTCGAAAGACGTTTTACGTCAGGCAAAGAAGAATACCAAGGGCTTTCCAGAAGACCTAGTATTTCCTGAGGAAACCCGACCGTGTAAAGGATGCGCGCAAGGGAAAATGCACCAACGTGCCTTCCCGCCTTCCGAAAAACGAGCGGAGAATCCGTTTGATTTGATCCACTCGGATCTCAAACAATTTCCCACGGTGTCTTATCACAAGTACCGCTACTTCATGAGCTTCTTCGACGAAGCACTCTCCTATGGCTGGACAGTATGCCTTGCGCAGAAATCCGATGCCAAGCAGGCTATGCGCAATTTCATTGCGATGGTCAAAAACCAGTTCAATGTCACCATCAAAAAGTGGCATATTGACAATGGGGGAGAATTCATGGGGATGGGAATGGAAGAATTTCTCGCGGAACAAGGAATTCTAGTGGAGAAGGGTGCTCCATATGCTCACCAGCAGAATGGGCATGCCGAGCGCTTCAATCGTACGATCATGGATAAGGCAGAAGCCATGCGCTTCACTGCCTGTCTTCCTAATTCTTATTGGGAATTTGCTATCAAACATGCGACACGGATCTACAATATGACACCTATCAGGCGTCTAAAATGGAAAACTCCATTTGAAGCTCTTCACAAGGAAAAACCGGATGTTTCCGAACTCCGAGTCTTTGGTTGCGCTGCATATGTCTTTATCCCTGATGAGAAGCGCGCCAACAAGTTATCGCCCAAATCGGAGCTGATGACCTACTTGGGCATTCCTGATGGTGTGAAAGGATTTTTGTTCATGCGCACAAACAATTCCACGTTCGTCGCCACCAAGGCATTGTTCGACGAGGAGTTGTTCCCCCGCTGTCCTGACAGCAATCGACCACCCCACGTTCCTGTTGGAGAGGAATTTCCAGAACGTGATGACCCAGTGAATCCACAAGATCCACCACAGGTAGACGGAGAAGATTGGCTATATGGAGATAATCCTTTTCCATTTCCCATGCCATCTGATCCGGCTCCACCACCTCCCGTACAGGGAAATGATGATGGTGACGACGGTCATAATCGTCAGGACCCACCGCCAGAGCGTCGGGATGAACCTCAGAGGACTCGTAGAAGTAGAATTCCACGACCAAGTCGGGAAGCTTCACCAGCTCCTGAGCCTCGAAGGTCTTCACGCCAGCGGAATGTGCCTACACGTCCAGGAAACGTCTATGGGGAAAAGCGTACCCCTACGGATATAGTCCGTGACATTCAGAACAGCAGAGGATGGAAGCGGTATGTTGGTGAAGATAAGGGTAGCTCCCAATCTCAACCATCAACCGGTGCTGATGCAGGGGTTCCCGGCCCTAGCTCGCAACCAGATTCCTCAAACGCGGGTGCTTCTGATGATCTAGACGAGGATGCACACATGGAGAAGCTATGCCGGGAAGGGGGAGTAGAGCTCATCACGGCGCTGCTGTCAAAAGCGGTTCCAAATGAGAACCTACCTGATACGTCCAAAATTCGCAATTGGACGTTCCGCGATATCAAGCGGTTGCCTTCTGAACAACAGAAAGGTTGGATTGATGCTTGCCGCGACGAGTTAGAGGCACTTCGTCAGCGCAAGGTCTATTCCCTTGTGGACCGTCCGAAAGGACGGAAGGTTATCAGATGTCGCTGGGTCTTTGACCAAAAATCTGATGGCCGAAAACGTGCCCGCCTAGTTGCCAAGGGTTTCAGTCAAGTCGAAGGTGTTGACTATGACGAGATATTCTCTCCTGTTGTTAGGTATGAGACGTTCCGGTTGGTCATGGCGCTTGCAGCGCTCAATGATTGGCATTGGTCTGGACTCGATGTCAGTAAGGCTTTTCTCTACGGAGAGCTTGACAAAGAGGTCTACATGGAACAACCCGAAGGCTTTGTGGCGAGAGGCCAAGTGTCATAGTTCGGCCACTTTTTCATCTTATCATCAACGATCTTATCTTATCTTGGCACAACTTATCTTATCACGGATCACGGCATCAGACGGTCCGGACTAGGGGTTTCAGGGGATTATCTTCATCGATTCGAGGCTGCGCGACATATGCTCCAGAAGGTTCTACTACGACCCATGACCAGCGTTCCATGCGGTACATAGCCCTATGACTCATTAGTTGTAGATATGACTCAGACTGGATTTGGGTATAAATACTGTAGCTACTTGGTTGTATTCTCCAGTCTTCGAATTCACTTCTCTTTTCGACTTTGTTTTTGGGTTGATTGTCACATAATTCGAAGACTCCCCTCATACCCTCCTACCTCATACCTCTTACCCTGCATCTTGCACCGCTACGCCCGCTATATCCTCTTAACCCTTATCACCCCACTCACCCTTTTACCGAATCATCTAGTCGTCCTCCACTATCGCAGTGAAGGGTTCATATCAAGCAAACAGCACCAGGCCACGGGTAACGTTGAGCCCGACCCAAGCCTTACGGTAGCTACAAGGAGTGCTGCGGAGACCTTCGGGAAAACGCACCTCGGGATCATCGGGCACGTGAAGAGCTAGGCCCGGGATCTTTTTGCTAGCAAAAGAACCTTTCCTCGAGTGCTTGTACAGCACACGAATCCACCATTTCGTACCGATTCCCATCGTCGTCTGGGAGTCCATCCCCTCCCCCCATCGTACCATCGTCGCCCGATCTGGCGCATCAAAACCAACCCGGGCCCTCCGACCCCTACCTCGCCCTCCCACCGCCTGAAGACGAGATCCCCGACCTCGACGAACTACCCTCCGAACAACCACCCTCGCCTCCACCTCACACGCCTACCCCTACCATGTCAGGGCATCACCGCATCACCCTCGCCGCCAACCCCCCCTACTTCGATGGCGACAAGTCCAAATACCTGGGCTTTGTGGACGCGTGCACCACTTACATCGGTGCCTATCGATCGGAGTTCTCACAAGATGAGACCAAAATCCTCTTTGTCCTCTCCTACCTCCGTAACGAGAACGGCACGAGCTGCGCTGCCTCGAGATGGGCGATGAACTGGAAGCAACACAACTTCGATGGCTTCCAGGGACTGAAGGCAGGAGTCACATCAAAGAACTTCCTGGAGGAGTTTCAGAGGGCGTTCGGGGACTCCAATGCGGAACAAGTCGCCGCTGCTCGGCTTATGGCCCTGCGTCAAAACAAACGGTCCTTCGCGGACTACATCTCCGACTTTGAGATGCTGGCCGCGGATGCAGGCTACAATGTGGTTGACACCACCGACGACAAAGGCGAATACAAGAAGGGGGACCAGGATAATATCCTCATCGAGTTCCTGGAGCGCGGACTCAGCAGCGAGATCGCCAGCCGTCTCTACAACACCGGTGTCCCTCTGCCCAAGGCCTATGGAGCGTTCAAAGCCTGGTGCATCAACATCGAAGCCAATGCTCTGCGTGACCAGCTGCGCAAAGCGTCGTATGGGCACCCCACACAACGACCACCTCCCCAGTTCCGTCCCCAAACGGCACCAGTGGCGCCCACACCCGCTCCGGCCCGACCCGCTGCCAACGAACCGGTTCCGATGGAAATCGATCGTACCCACGCCCGCGGCCGCAATATCATCTGCTACAACTGTCAGCAGCCCGGGCACATTGCGCGGAACTGCCCGGAGCCCAAGAAGAAGCGCACATTCTTCAATCGGGCCACAATTCTGGAAGAAATCGAGAACGGGGACAAGGACAACGAGTTCCTGAAGGAGATTGCCGAGAAGCTGCGCGAGAAGGGTTTTTGAAGCGCTCCACTCCTCTAGCCAAGGAGGTGGAGCGTCCGGACTATGGACGATTTTCTGTACTTGTTTCGATTAAAGATACGGACAATGTTTCATCTACATACACGATCTCAGACTCACTACGTACAAATATTCACGATTTTCTTATTGCCGAGATGGAAAAAGAACGCCAGGAAAAGATAGCTCTAAATAGAAAATACTTACAAGATAAGAAGGATCAGAAAGCTGCAGATAAATTATTTTTGGACTCCTACGTATTTATGGCTCGTGGAGAAGGAACCACGTCAACAAAGACCGAAAAGGGGAGCATCGCTCCGAAGGCTCGATCCTTGGAAAAGGAGGAAGCGCCCAAAGAATCTGCCAAAATCGAGGTTCCAGAAGCACCCAAACGCACCAGGGTGCCAGATGCCATCCAGAGGAAATTGGCGACCGAGAAACAGAAGGGCCCCCAGCCCAGCAGATTGGCGCAGGAATTGCGCAGTTACCAAGCCGAAAGAAAGAGGCATTCGATGGACGTATATGTCCAGATCACGGGCCTGGACTCAGGGAAAACGCGTGGAGTCAAGGCGCTGCTCGATAGTGGCTGCAGTACCTGCTGCATCGACACCGACTACGCACGAGCAGAAAAGCTGGATATCCAAGAGCTTCCGCAACCCATTGTGGCTCGTAACGCCGACAACACCGAGAACATCAGCGGTCGGATCACACACTACGTCGACTTGAGAATGAGAATCGGCCCTCATGTGGAGACACGCACGTTCCTTCTGACGTGTCTGGGAAAAGCCCGGATCTTCATCGGCCTGGATTGGCTGACGGAACACAACCCCGAGGTGGATTGGCAGGAGCAGACAATGAGATTCAGCCGATGCCCAGAGCAATGTCAAATGAGGGGTCACGAGGAACACCAAGCGATGATCGACATGGATGCAATTGACCTGGACGCGGGTGCACCGGATCTGGAAGAGGGAGAATCGATCTTGTTGATCGACTTTGGAAAGGAGGTAGACCTACGGCTGAAGGAAACGCCGGCGCAGAAATTCGCAGAAGAAGCGGAAAAGGAGAAGGAGAGAATGACCGAGGGAAAGATTCCAGATCAATACCGAGAATTCGTCAAAGTATTCGCCAAGGAGTCATTCGACTCGCTACCAGACCGACGGGCATGGGATCATGCGATCGAGCTCAAACCAGGCTCCAAAGCAGTGGACTGCAAGGTGTACCCCTTATCGAGAAACGAGCAGGTCAAACTCGACGAGTTCTTACAAGAGAACCTAGCCAGCGGACGAATCAGGCCATCAAAATCACCCATGGCATCGGCATTCTTCTTTGTCAAGAAGAAGGATGGCTCGCTACGGCCTGTTCAAGATTACCGGAAGCTGAATGAGATGACGATCCGAAATCGATACCCGCTACCGCTGATTTCCGAACTGGTCCACAACCTGTGCGGCGCCAAGTTCTTCACCAAGCTAGACATCCGGTGGGGATACAACAACGTACGGATCAAAGAGGGCGATGAGTGGAAGGCTGCGTTTCGCACAAACCGCGGACTTTACGAGCCCTTGGTTATGTTCTTTGGTCTCACAAATTCCCCGGCAACTTTCCAAAACATGATGAACGACATACTCCGGGAACTGATCAACGAGGGACATGTGGTAGTTTATCTGGACGACATACTAATCTTCACAGAAAATCTGGATGAACATCGACGAATCACCAAACGGGTACTCGAGTTGCTCCAAAAGCACAAATTATACCTGAAGCCGGAAAAGTGCGAGTTCGAACGCACGGAAATCGAATACCTGGGTGTAATCATTGGACACAACTCGATGCGGATGGACCCTGTCAAGATCAAGGGCGTGATGGAATGGCCGGAACCAAAGAGCGTCAAACAAGTCCAAGCCTTCCTCGGATTCACAAACTTCTATCGACGTTTCGTTCGGGGATATGCGGAGGTCGCCAAGCCGTTGACGCGGCTGACAGGGAAGGCAGGATGGTCATGGGGTCCGGATGAACATGCGGCGTTTGATGGGTTAAAGAAGAGAATCGCGGAGGATGCCGTCTTAGCACTGCCAAATGACACTGGCCAATATCGTCTGGAAGCCGATGCTTCGGAAGGGGCAACAGGATCTGTTTTGAGCCAAAACCAAGACGGCATTTGGCGCCCAATCGCATTTATTTCGCACGCATTGACCGAAACCGAGCGAAATTATGAGATCTACGACAAGGAGATGCTCGCAATCATGTTATCACTTGACGAATGGAGGCAGTTGCTCCTGGGAGCCACGGAAACGTTCGAGATCTTCACCGATCATCAGAATCTCGAGTACTTTCGGAAGCCGCAGAAGCTCAATCGACGGCAAGCACGATGGATCACGGAGTTGGCGGAGTTCGATTTCACCTTACGACACCGACCCGGCGCACTCAACCGCAAGGCGGACCTCCTGTCCCGATGAGCAGATCACGATTAGGGCAAGAACGACAACAAGGACGTCACGCTACTGAAGCCCGAGTTCTTCCGATCACAAGAAGTCACATTCGAGGGACAGGATCAGCAGCTAATCGACGAAATCAAGGCCATTCGATCAATTGATGGAAGCGTCAAGGCGGCCTTAGAGAAGTCACTCGCCGGATGGAAGAAGGAAGAGGGGCTTATCACGTACCATGGGAAGCTCTACGTACCAAGGGACGAGGAGTTGCGGGACAAAATCATCGGACTACACCACGACACCCCTTTGGTCGGACACGCCGGGATCAACCGAACGCAGGAGATGGTGGAAAGGAACTACTGGTGGCCAAGGATGGGAAACCAAATCCGGAAATACATCCAGACGTGCGAAGCGTGCCAGCGGACCAAGACCAGAAGAGCCAGGACAGGGAGTTTGCACCCGCATGCAGTTCCAAACGCGCCGTGGGAAATCATCTCCATGGATCAGATCGGACCCCTGCCGGTCAGTAACGGGTATGACGCAATTCATGTGTGGTGTGACACCTTCACCAAAATGATCCATGTCGAACCAATTAGTACTGACATCAGCAGCGAAGGAGTAGCACGATTAACCAGGGACCGAATCTTCCGCTATCACGGGGTCCCCCGCAAAATCATCACTGACAGGGACTCTCGATACATCAAGGGCTTTATGAAGGAAACGAATCGGATGTTGGGCGTGGAAATGAATCCGGGGACCGCATATCACCCCATCACGGATGGGCAGACGGAGCGTATGAATCAGGAGATCGAACACTATCTCCGCATTTACGTCAACTACCATCAGACGGACTGGTCGGAGTGGCTGGGAATGGCGGAGTTCGCATACAACGACAAAATGAACACGTCTACCAAAATGTCGCCGTTCTATGCTAATCACGGATATCACCCATGGAAGGGAGTGGAGCAGCGGCTGGAATCAAGGAACGAGTCGGCGGAGGAATTTGTAAAAAGGATCAAAGAAATACAAGACGAAGCAAAAGCAGCATTGGAAAAAGCAAAAGAAAAAATGAAAAAATACTACGATAAACAAAGAAAAGAAGTTCCGGAGTTGAAGGTTGGGATGAAGGTGTACATAGAAGGGGAAAATATCGAGACGGATAGACCATCAAAGAAGATGAGCGACAAGAGATTGGGACCATACGAGATACTGGAGAAGGTTGGAGCGGCCGCATGGAAGCTGGATTTGCCGGACACGGACCGAAGACACCCGGTGTTCAACGAGTCACTGTTGACACCCTATCACGAACCACCCCCCCATCGCCGAGAGAAGAGACCCGTGGCCAAGATGATCGGAGGAGCAGAGGAGTGGGAAGTCGAAGAAATCGTGAAAGAGCGAAAAGTCGGCCGAGGAAAACAGTACTTGGTCAAATGGAAGGGATGGCCGCACAGCGAGAACACCTGGGAACCATCACGTCACCTTACCCACGCAAAAGACGTCCTGAGAGACTGGCAGAGGAAACAATCAAATCCAGACACACGCATTCGCCTCCTGCCAACGCTCGAAGCTGGACACTGGGACTATCTCATTCATCGCTACCAGCCCAGGGACGAGCGCCTTCCATACCCCCAACGACAGCTCTTCGACCCTTACGAGAACGTCTTCTTACCCATTGGCCTGGTCGATGAGGACATCGACCCTAGAGAGGGGGTAATGTCATAGTTCGGCCACTTTTTCATCTTATCATCAACGATCTTATCTTATCTTGGCACAACTTATCTTATCACGGATCACGGCATCAGACGGTCCGGACTAGGGGTTTCAGGGGATTATCTTCATCGATTCGAGGCTGCGCGACATATGCTCCAGAAGGTTCTACTACGACCCATGACCAGCGTTCCATGTGGTACATAGCCCTATGACTCATTAGTTGTAGATATGACTCAGACTGGATTTGGGTATAAATACTGTAGCTACTTGGTTGTATTCTCCAGTCTTCGAATTCACTTCTCTTTTCGACTTTGTTTTTGGGTTGATTGTCACACCAAGAGCGCAAAGTCATGCGCTTGCACAAGGCAATCTATGGACTCAAACAAGCTGCTTTAGCATGGTGGAAAGCGCTGACCAAGTCCACGAAAGCCATGGGCTGGATCCGACTAACATCGGATGCCGGCGTGTTCTTCTACAAGGACTCTGATGGCAGCATAGCCGTCATAATAGTCTATGTGGATGATGCTCTGTTCTTCTCCAAGAACAAGAAGCTCCTCGCCTTTCTCAAGGCTGAGTTCAACAAGCGATGGGAATGCCGCAATTCTGAAGATACTCCAGAGTTCTTGCGCGTGCGCCTCAGTAGAGTAGGATCTTCGATCAAGATTGATCAGACTCCTTATCTCGACAAGGTGCTAGAGCGCTTTGGGATGCAGAACGCCAAGTTTGCAGCGACCCCTCTACCGGCTGGATATGTTCCAATGCCAAATGAGGATGAAGTCGATCCAGAGCTCAGGAAGAAATTCCAATCAGTCATTGGATCTCTTCTCTTCATCATGCTAGGCACACGTCCTGATATTGCATTTGCTGTGACCAAATTGTCACAATTTGCCGCCAATCCGTCCCAAGACCACCTTCATAAAGCGCTGTATATCTGCCGCTATTTGGCTGGTACTAGGAATTATTCGCTCATTTTCAATGGTGCGACGGATAGAGGGCTAATTGCATTTAGCGATTCAGACTGGGCTGCTGATCCGATCAAGAGGAGGTCTACCACTGGTTTCTTCACGAAATTGGCAGATGGGATTATTTGCTGGCAGTCTAGACTTCAGCGCACAGTCGCGCAGTCTTCTACCGAAGCAGAGTACATGGCGATTTCAGATTGTAGTCGCTAGGTGATGTGGCTGAAGAGCGTCCTTTCGGAACTCCAGTTCAAACTCACCATCCCAGTACCCATTTGTGGTGACAATCAGGGTGCACTCTTCAGTGGCAGCAATGCCTACCGAGACCGCAGGATGAAACACATAGACATCCGCTATCACTACATTCGTGAGCGAGTCGAGGAAGAAGAGGTTGAACTGTTCTTTATTCCGGGCAGTGAGAATCCTGCAGATATGTTCACCAAGAACCTAGGACGCGTCAAGTTCGAGAAGTTCAGGTCCCAACTAGGACTTGAGTTCAACTCGTCCTGAAGGAATGGCCGATGAAGATTCGCTTTCAAACACTATCCCGTGGTTTTCAGCGTGGGGGAGTGTTGATCAAATATCATCTGTCAAGATGGATGTCGTGATACATATCTATGACTCCATCACGTGTCATCTAGAGTCATATCGACTCGTCCCAAATAGACACAAACGGCCCCCTGTATCATATATAAGGAGGGCTCTATTACCCTTTAATACAAGTCTCTTGACTACTCCCGCATAGTGCCCACACTAAGCTCTCAACTCACACAGGTGGGTTGCTAGACGCTCTTCCCAGTGCTCAACACACCATAGCCCTCATCTTCACTGCATTCGACATCTCCAAAGCGGTGGACGGACACGGACAGGAGATCCAATCCCCTTATGACGATCGCGCCCATTTCATGAAGCGGACAAGCCGCCGATGTGTTGAGCCAGCGGACCCGCGTCTTTCAAATATACCATCATACCCCGATCTATGGCCGCAGCAGATCTGATTCGAACGACCGAAACCGAGATGTGAACAGAAAGCAGAGAGATCATAGTTGCTACACGAAGTTACTATCTTTGTTCGGGCTATCGATACATCTTCGCCCCTTCAAGGCAGCTGCAAGACAGTCTCCATGAATTGATCGTATCCGATCTGGATCCAACCATCCCGATCAGTGTCGATCCGTCCGAAAGCCTCGCTCAGCTGCTTCACGACGACACACGCGCGGACGAATCGGTCGAACGAGATCCCGGCCGGCGCGCTCGAGGGCATTCCATGCGAGGGAGCAGAGTTGGTCGCTTTTGGATCTGAGTGAGCGTGAGGAATAAAGGACTCGGCCCGCAGCCACGAAGATATGGAACTGGGGGGGCTAGAGTCATGGAGAACGAGACACACCGTATTTACGCTGGACCAGGACCAGGAGATGCGGAGATAGGTTGAACCCGAACTGGGCGAGAGCATCGCGGAGCTCGCTTCCATCAATGGAGCCAGAGCGGTCCCGGTCGAAGTGCTTGAAGACGTTTTGCCAGTCTTTGATGTACTTCCACAATCCAGCAAACTGAGCGCGCGTGTCAGCGGGTGGTCGCAACTCTCGAAGCACCTCCACACAGACCTCGTTGAAACCAATGGTGCCACTGCGATCGGTGTCCTTTGGAAAGATGACTATCAGTATGTATCTCGTCCTGCCAGCGAGCCAGGCATACGAAGATGGTCATCAGCAGCTTGACAGTGTCAAGATCGAAGGCTGATTGTTAATTAGCGTCGCTCGAATACAACGAGCGAGACAGCCGCACGAGTCCAATCTCCGTTGATCAGCGCGCGTTCTGCAGAAGTCACACCCGCTCAGCAGCTAGTCAGATGGAGAGCAGGCGACACACCAAGCTCGGGCGCGGTGATCGCGCCAGATCGGTCGGCGTCGACAGAAGTGAACCAGTTCCACAATCTACGGAGACACGAAAGGGCGGGATCAGGACGCAGAACTTGTCGGGCAGCCTGTCAAGAGATGACGTACTGCGGGTCTGCACCAGGTGGGGGGCCCTGACCACCGGGAGGCGCGAATCCACCCGCGTGTCCGCCTGCGGCCCCGTATCCACCTCCAGCGGCACCAGCACCTCCGTATCCGCCGCCTGGGGGGCCGCCGTATCCACCGCCCGGAGCACCGCCGTATCCGCCAGCTGGAGGGCCGCCGTATCCGCCTCCGCCTGAGATGTGAGACGGGTGGGCGGTCGTGGAGAGAGTGACACGTACCGGTGGGTCCGCCTGCTGGTGGGCCGTATCCGCCAGGGCGCCCATAGCCGCCGCCGCCGCCGGGAGGAGGGGGATGTCCAGAATGGCCGCCGTACTGCTCATGTGTCAGAGAGGCAGAAGAGATAGGACGCTGCAGATAGATCGGAGAGCGCCGAGCACTCACTCCGCCGCCGTAAGACATGTTCAAGTTGTTGTTTGAGAGAGGGGGATGAAGATGAGATGAGGGAGGAGGACGATCTACGACTGTATATGAGGGCCACAAGGCACAGCCGCGGTACGTAATGTGTCAATGCGTGGCGGTGTCGCGGCGCGTCATGGCTGTTCACTCGTGCCATGCTATGGCTCATATTGATATCATGTAAGTTGTAACCGGATACAGCCACACCCCAGGCTTCGCACAGCACGACGTATATACAGTAAGTTCTCAGCGCTTCCAAAGATCACCCAGATCGTACGCGATAGCCACTTCCGCACACCACGTGCACCCTGCGTCGAGCGAGTACAGCCTCACGAGCCGAAGCTGTTCGAATTTGACACCCTCGGGGCCTAGGCGAATTCCATGTGCAATCGTGGGATTGAAACAAGCGGAGAACATCTGCATTTCTTGTGTCAAACAAGTTCGGAAACTACGTTGGTGTTCTTACCTCTGAGAAAACGTAGAGGTGGTCCGCCACTTGCCTCGCCAGGTCCGCGACAGTGGTTTTATGGCTGATTACCAATGGACGTCGCAGTGGGATCTTCTCATGAGAGCCACCTGGTCGAACTGGTGGTTGCTTGGAATTCCCGTACCCAGGCCACTTTCAGGACATGAGAATCATTGTGTAGCTTTCATTTAACCTGAACACTCACCGATATCACGAGAACGGGACAGGGAATATGTCCGATAAGCGGATCCAAAATATCGTTCAAGATCATCCTCTGGGGCTGCTCGAAACCAGCGCCCAGGCGTGCCAGAATCATGGACACACCAACCGTGCATGGTCCGTGGTCGGGATGAAATTCCACTGCTTCAACGACCGATGAGGTTGGACAGAGCCCGACGAACTTCATGCCGATGTCGGAATGCCACCAGTCGATATACAGGCTTTTCTGTTCAGGACCCAGATCATAAATGTAAACGTCGCGTTCCATCTTGTCAACAAAGGAGGTCTTGGGTGGTGGAATCCTGTAGCATTCAGATTCATCCCGGTCCTGATGATGAACAGTCGGTCAACGTGTGACACGTGATCGGGAGGATGCGACTGACCTTTTTCAATGGCTGAGCACGAAGGGGAGTAAGAGTCACTTTCATGTTGAGCCTATCAGCGAGTTTATCAATCGTCGAAATAGTGAGTACTTGTTATATACCAATTCGAAAGATCAAAGCGCGGAACATGCGCTTGAGTGCAGGCCACACCATTGTCGTTGCTTTCCCCATTGAGCACAAACACTGCATCAGCATCTTCCTGTCCGATCGTCTCAAATCGGGGCTTCACAAAATCTTTCACATCTTTCACGATCGTTAAAGCGTTGTGTCCGTGCAGGTATGCGCGTGACAACGAGTCTGGATTTCTGAAGACAACGAGTCCTGGAATAGCCAACCCAACAATTTGGAGTAGGATTACTGGCCCGATTAAGGACTCGAGGGCCATGTGAGACAATGACAATAAAGATCTCTCATTGTGACTAGCGAGGGGTATGAAATTACCTTTGTTCTTTTATGATCAACCCACGTGATCCCAGTTCAACGCATCCCTCGGAAGGAGCCGGATGTCACTGCCCTGACATCATCGACTAATCGTGTTTGAAAAAATAAAGAAAAATCTTGTCCATCTTGCCAAGGAAGACAATGTAAGCAACTATGATTTGTTGATACGGAACATCACGTCGGAAAAAGATAGTAGTACGAGGCTCATCGGCTGCGGGCGTGTCTGACTCGGTTCGCACATAAGGAGGAGATGAATACCGGCTACCAAGCGCCTTAAATTGAGACCTACCTACTCACTGCGGCTTGGTGACGACCAGGTATCAAATCTGTTTCAGCGAAAAGCACTTTGATCGCGAGTAATTATCATTCACGTATTTTGTTAGCTTCCAATAGTCGAAATAATCTGGAAGGCAATACGTAAGCTCTAATGACACATCTCGGCAATTCTGCCACCCATCTTCCTTTTTTGAACTTGCCCTCCCAAGTCCCCACAGCTATAAGAGCTGGGATGGAACTCGCCACCGACTCGTGTGCTCCGCTGCCATGCCCTCTCGACACATTATGACGCTGCTTGCCCCTGCTTGGGGACACACTCTGCCCTACATCCACCTGAGCACGCGCATGCTGGCGCAAGATCCCGAGCTGGGCGTCACCATCGTGCAGCACAATCTGATCCGTTGGGTCCATCCATGAGCATGCGGCACGCGAGGACTGACTGGGCTTCATAGTGCCTAAGTTGCTGAAGGAGCTCAGCGCGTGCGCGTACGACAAGGATCGTCTGAGGATCAAGGCTGTCGGCGTTAAAGAGTGGGTTGTGCATTCCTCATGTCACTGCGCGACCCTTATTCTCGACGAAGGGTCAAGTTCTCGCCCGAGGTCGTCGAAGAGGCGAATAAGCAGCTCGCAGAGGGTTGGCTCGACTTTCTTACCGAAGCGGTTGGAGCTGCACAGCCGTTGGCGTGGCCGAAACCTCACACGGTGCACGTGCGTATTCCCGAGTGTCCTCTTGGTTTTCCTGATGTAAATCTCTAGATGGATTTCTTTGTCGGTGGCTTCGTCATCAACCCGACAAAGGCGATCTTAGGGCCCGCCACCAAAGTCGTGCTCTGGTGCTCCGCGGGAGTAACGATCTGCCCCGACCACTTCGGCGAATACAATTTCGGGAAAATCGCGCGCGAGATATTTGCCGACGAGGAGCGACGCGCAGGGCGCTCACTGGAGGAGATCCTCGGCGACGTGCGCACTACTCAGCCTACGATTACACCATCTGAGCTTCTGATTAGGTGGTCGTGGCCTGGAACGGGAGCGACAAGCTCGATGGGCGGGTCGTTGACCTCGTGGGTGCGCTCCAGATATACGACTACGAACGGAACGCGCAGGGTGCCGGAGGGCCGCGACAAATCGCGCCCGTTTGGGCGGCTGCGCAGGAGCTGGCTGCGGTTGCTGACGCACTGCTTTGTCCGGCCAGCAGCGCATTGGAGCCCCTTGGCGCGCCTTACTGCCGGCAATATTACGAGAGTCGCGGCAAGGAACTGTTCTTGGTGGGCCCGCAGATGAACGACACAGAATGGGAGGTGTCAGTTGTGGGCACTGGCCCCGGTGAGCCCCGAGTCAAGGCCTTCTTAGATGACTCGCTCGCGAAGTACGGCCCCAAGTCGGTGATGTATATATCATTCGGGTGTGGTCGGTTGATTTTTATGCGTGAAGCGCTCTAACATCGCTCTATGCAGATCTCTGTTCTTCCCCGTTGCGACCCCCCATCTCGTGGAGACAATGATCCAAGTGCTTCTGGATCTCGAGCCTCCCCTTCCGTTCATTTTGGTACTCGGGGGAGCCATGGCCACGCTCCCTGATGAAACGATCGATCGTGTTCATTCGAGTGGGAGGGGATTGGTGTGCGACTTCTGGGTCGACCAAAAGGCCATCCTGAAGAGCGGAGCGGTGGGCTGGTTCTTGACACATGGTGGCTACAAGTCCGTGGCCATTTCCCCACTGCGTTCGCAGAATCCAGTTGATCGAGTTGCAGCTCGCTGACCGAATCATTGAGTCAAGGGATTCCACTCATCTTTTGGCCGATCGCCGGAGAGCAAGCAACCAATGCTGCCATGTTTTCAACCGGATCCAATCCCATCGGCATCGAGCTCTTTCAGGTGCTTTTTGTCTCTATTCTTAGGGGACGGCCGTAACATTACTCAGACGACATAGATACGCACTGGGACTCAGCTCCGTCCTTCGCTCCGTCCTGACGCGCCAAAAATCACGGGCACAGTGGAGGACGCGAGGGCAGAGTTCGAAATGACGTTCCGATCTCTAAAGGGTCCCAAGGCGGCAGCTCTTACGCGGAACGCGGCCCGGATCGCGGAACTCTGGCGTGTGGAGAGGATCGATGGGGAACCTGCGCGAGAGATTAACCGGTTGACAGCATTCGGAGGCGGAGACGGATATGTATCAGCGGGAAAAACCTTCATTGCATGATGACTCTCCACCGGCTTTGGACGGGTCTCCTTGAGCCGGAACGCGGCTTAGAAAGCAAATATAAGAGTTCTGTTGTCAGCTTAAATATCAAAGTAAATCAGTGGTGGAAAAATCACACTCGCTACTACAAGACCAGTTGAAAGAAGGCTTCTATCTTTAGAATCAGCACCTCACAAACTCCCGCAAGTATTGTAAGACGCTTAAATCCATTTCAACGGCCCACGGTACGTCAGCGACGCTGACAGATTGCGGAGAATTCGGGAGGCTGAATCAGTCCCAGCTGTCTTCTTACCAGCTTCTTGCTGTTCTACCTGTCAACGCCTGAGGCTAATTTACCGAGCATAAAAACTGGGATGGACGAAGTTATCGTCTCACACATCCGCCTATGCCTCGCCGACACATTCTGACGCTGCTCGCTCCGGCGTGGGGCCACACTCTGCCCTACATCCATCTGACGACACGCATGCTGGCCCAGGATCCGGAGCTCGTCATCACCATCGTGCAGCACAATCTGATTCGTGCGATCATTCGACGCCTCTGCGAGACATGTCTGATAGTTTAATCCAGTGCCCAAGATGCTGAAGGAGCTTGACGGCTGCACATATGATCAGAGCAGGCTCAAGATCGAGAGTGTTGGCGACAAAGAGTGGGTGTTTTTTTCACCCGCTCTTCTTCTCTTCACGTGTTAATATGATCATCAACGCGCAGAATCAAATTCTCACCGGCACTCGTCGAAGTAGCGATAAAGGATCTGGCGGGACGATGGTTAGAGATCCTCGCGAAGGCAGTCGGCGCCGGCCCCACCGACGCTGCAGAGAGCGCCTGGCCCAGGCCCTACACCGTCCATGTGCGTTCTGACCGGGGTGGACGCCCCTCTCCTCGTGCTTTCTGGCGCTGATCTGGGCAAAGCTGGACTTCTTCGGAGGCGGGTTCGTCGCTGCGCCCACGAGAGCCTTGCTGGGACCCGAATCTAAGCTCGTTTTGTGGTGTTCCGGCGGCGTCAACGCCCTGCCGGACCACCTCAGCGACTATAACTTTGCCGAAATCGCGCGGGAGATCTACGCGGACGAGTCACGGCGCGCAGGCCGGTCGATGGAGGACATCCTCGGTGATGTGCGGCCTCATTTTTTGCGTCATGTAGGCGGCGGACTGACCCATTGGGTCTGGGACAGGTCGTGTCCGCTTGGAACGGCAGCGACAAACTCGATGGGCGCACGATCAAGATCGTAGGTTCATTGGACATATACGACCACGAGCATATCGCGCGTGGCGCCGGGGGCCCTCGTGACCTTGCCCCTGTGCTCTCCGCTGCGCAGGGCTTGGCTCAGGTTGCCGATGCCATTATGTGTCCCGCCAGCAGCGCAATGGAACCCATCGCGACCCAATTCTCTCGAGAGTATTACAAGAAACGCAATCAGGAGCTCTTTCTCGTTGGCCCTCAGATGCATGACAGAGACTGGAAAACTCGGTCTGCGGGTCCTGGCCCTAGTGAGGAGCGTATCAAGACTTTCCTAGAAAACGCCCGGAAACAGTTTGGGCCCGGTTCGGTGCTGTATATCTCATTTGGGTGCGTTTCTGCTTGCTCCATCGTGAAAAACGGACTGAACTGAGCATGGTTGAAGATCTCTTTTCTTCCCGCTTGCCACTCCACACCTCGTCGAGGTCATGGTGGACGTGCTTCTTACTTTGAAAACACCCCTTCCGTTCGTCTTTGTCCTCGCGGGAGCGATGGCCTCTCTGCCTCAAGAAATTATCGACCGGATCCACGCCAGCGGTCGAGGACTAGTCTGCGATTTCTGGGTCGATCAGAAGGCGATCTTGGAATGCGGTACAGTCGGATGGTTCTTGACTCATGGGGGCTACAAGTCAGTTCCCCAGACCTCAGACATACTTTTCAAAACTGATCAGAAACTCATCGCAGCTCGTTGACTGAGTCGCTGAGCCAAGGAATTCCACTTATTTTTTGGCCCGTCGGAGCGGAACAAGCCGTCAACGCTGCGATGCTGTCGACTGGACCCCTTCCGATTGGTATTGAACTCTTTCAAGTGAGCCTTCAGATTGAACTCTTTTTACTCGCTGTTCTCTGATCAACGGGTAAAGATTCGGGCTGGAGAGCAGCTGGGACCGTCCCTTCGTTCCGATGCACCAAGCAAGATCACAGGCACAGTCGAGGACGCACGCATCGAGTTCGAGCAGACTTTCGGTGCGCTCAAGGGCGCCCGAGGGGAGAGACTGCGGCAGAATGCGGTCCATATTGCGGATCTGTGGCGGAAGGAGCGGATGGATGGAGAACCGGCACGGGATATTGCGAAGCTGATAGAATTCTGAGTGGAACCTAGATATAAGTTACTGGTTGGAAATTGGAATAGATTATGTAGATAGTTCCTGCAGGCTTGACCCCACGTTCAAATGGTCTTTGGCGAGAACTCGATTTCTAGGCTGCGCACATTCATGATATTCTCTGTCCAGGATGTCGGATCCAGGGCAATAGGGCCTAGTTCTTCCCTGCGTTCCTCACCCCGACAGAAGGTCGCAACAAAGCGCACCGCCGGTGGGATTCTTTGAGTGCGAGCCGAGAACCAGGCAGTAGCAGGGATGTCTACGGTGGTGTAATCTCTCTCCTCGGCGAAACGGGAAATAAACAGCTTCTTGGCTTGCTGTTATGATTTCCGTGAGCGGAGGCAAGGGACTTGCGTGGAACGGACACGCACATCTTCCTTCATCCCTCGGAGAGACTCTCGGCCAAAGGCCATGCGTTTTCCGCGGCACGAAACGACTAGTTGCGGGAAAGCGCACTCGCGGGTAGACCTGACAAACGCGCCAAACGCCGCCGTGAGCGGTGTCAGATCCATTGTCAAGGACTTGTTCTCGAAGTGATTGTGGACCGTCGTCTTCTCGATTTTGGCAGGTGGCGCCTCTGCTGACGAAGAAGCTTGAGACATCGAGTTCAAGTTCGAGGCAGGCTCTGGGGAAAGTCGGGGTGGATGAGGGATCGAAGTCAACCTTGATTCGTGTCAGGACACGGGTGTGGCGGATCAGAACGCTCACGTGCATGCGCGAAGATGAAACCAATGAATCCTGCTGACGGAGTTCTAGCCAGCAGAGAGAAGTATTCATACATCCTGCGAGTGAGAAAAGGAGTGCCATCGATCCTAATGTCGTTTTGACTGGTACCAAGTGGCTTGCCAGCGAAGGAGATGCGAAGTGAACACCACGGAGACTGTAAATGACTTTCCGTCCTTTCTTTCCGGGCATTAATGGGGTAGTGGTAACCTGGGTCGTTGCCACTTGTAAGCGAGTTTCGACCCGCCGGGGGTTCGATTCCCCCTTAATGCAAATGTTTTTGCGTTCCAAGCCTCTGCTGTACTACATTTCCCGGTGTCCCTCGTATAACCTGTTCCCTTCTCACTGTTGTACTGTTGAGTCTCTACAATGTGTGTAGGATTGAAAATGCTTGGTTCATCGCGACCGAGATACAGAAGCTATCCGATTTTTGCGTCCTCCCACACATTTTCAAAATAGTATCGACGTCTGAGGCAGCATGATTGAAATGAATACTCCATTTCACTGGATCGTCCCACTAATATTCATCGCTGAATAATCGCAGTAAACAAAAAACAGTTGCTCCCAGCGATCGAGACCGCTCAACCAATTGAAATCCGCTTCAACCCCGTTACTTTCAAACCATCAACGACCTTGTTCTCCAACCGGTCCGAAATCAACCGGATCTATCCACCGTTGCGTCTCAGTTCCATCCGCTGGACGAAGTACCAGCTAAAAGCATGCTCAATAAGCCACAAAACGAAAGGCAAAGAACACGACGCACAATTCCATACTCCGGGTGGGCGTCCTTATCATCGTGAATGATATCCCATACTGCGTCCGCGTAGGGGAGCTTGATCTGAAGATGCACGTCAATTCGCGATGAGGACTTCGAAGTAAAGAACAAAGTCCGCACCACTTGGACGTCGTTATTGTCAGCATCTTCCTGTGCGAATGTCGTTCCAGAATCCGTCCCCACCACGCGGTTCTGTTGTGACGTATTGAGGTAGATAGAGAGACGTTATAATCTGTCCTACCGTTTTGCGGTCGACGGTGAGCACCAGGTTGCTTTCACGGTGAGTGTAGAAGCGGTTGGGCATGTCCAGGTACCATTCAAGCCACTTTCCACAGGGACGATATGTAAGTAGGCGATTTTTGAATAGGTTGTAGCACATACGCGAGAAGAACTGTCGGTTTCCCGATTTTTGGCAACGTAAACCGTGGCTGGAGACTGAGCGCCGGGAAGAATGAATATTGAAGCATTGTATGCCACATTAATCAGATCCACTGGGGAGTTATGCTGCCATTCTACTGTGAGTGGGAAAGGCTTGATGTGTCGAAATATTTGAATACTCGCCAGTCCATGCGCATTTGCTCCGGAGACAATCAAGCCCAGAAGGGCCGCAAAAGCTGTTCTGAGATGCATATAATCGATGGGGGCGATGTGAAGGGGAGGGCTGGGGAAGATGCAGTAGCTCGATTCCCGCAGAAGCCTTTATGTAGGAAGCGAGGCGCTCTACCACCACGCACTTGTCAGTTCCAGAATTATCTTATCAACGGCTCGAAAGCGCTCGAGAACAGTGCGAGGAGTTAATCAGGCGCTGAGCAGACCGAGCTTGAAGGACCGTCTCCCGCTCGTCGCGGGGCCGAAACTGAATGAACCGTGGTGCCCATTCTGGAAGTCAAAGAAACAAAGAGACAGGTCATGCGCCCGACACTCCAGCTTTGATATCAAGCAGTTGCTCAGCTTTGGTAGATCAGTCAAATCCTGTCCTTTGAAATGGTTGTGAAAAGCTGTAGCGTTGCAGTGCACCGCCACCGGCCATCATCACAAGCGGCGTCTGTCGTTCTTTGTTGCAAGTTTCTAGTTCTTTTAGGCTCTTTCCTTGCCCCTATGCACAACGTGTTCCCAATCCTCCATCTCGCAGCACACTTGAGCGATGGACTTCAACTTCACTGATTATCTTGACGACATGGCGAGTGACACTATGCGGCATACCGCACCAGTCTCCTCACAATCTGACCCAGGTCCCAACGCCCGCCTTGTCTCCATCGGCTGGACGGAAGCCAAGGGAAGCACCAGGTACGTCTACCTTTCGAAATCGAAATTTCCTACCTCCGATTTGCCGCATTGAGCTCATGTGCTGTCTGTCCCAGCCTTCTTAGTCCGACCGGAGGAGTTTGCGCTGGGATCATCTCAGGCGCATATCTTTCGCGAGTACTTCAGGACGACGGTTTCCAAGTCATGTTTGAAGCTCCAGTTCGAAGCAGGGGTGGGTCTGGTATAACATCTTTGAGCCTGACTTACCTCCTCAGCAACTTTTCTTCCGCCTCTCTTTCGAGGATGCACCGACACCGAATCCTGTCCCAGGTACTTTCTTAGCTCACCTCCACTTCTCCGCTCACCGGCAATCAGTCTTACAGGCGGTCGCTTCGACAGACGATATCACGACGGTCAAGCTCGTCAAAGGAACGCGTGAACACCCACATAACAAGCTCATCTTCACCTTTCGGCGCCCGCCCCTCGTCGAGGCGGACTTCCGCTACCTCAGGGATAGCCCACCGGGCCTCAAGACGCGTCGTGCGACGGAGCTCGATTGGAGTCCCGACGAGATAGATGAGTTTGGCGCGGGTGCACCAGGGACGGTGGCGCGTGGATTCTGGAAGCGCACGCCGATGAAGGTGCGTCTCTTCCCTTTGTGCGCATTGGCTTTGTCGTCGAGCTCACCGTGCGGTAGTTCGGCTTGTGGCTGACGTACGGGTTCACGTTCATCTGCAATCGCGCGGAACTGGAGCGTGTGACCACGGCACTCTCTCGGCTGCGCACCCTGGAACGCACTCGCGGAGAGAAGATGGAGTTTGAGAACTCTGGGCTGGGAGGGGACGTTGTGAACGGCACTGAGCGCAGAGGATGGCTTCGCGACGACCCGGCTCCACCTCTGGACGACCTCCTGGCGATACAGAAGCATCCCTTCAATGTGCGGTACCTGGTCATGGGACTCGTCGGACAGGGGCTCCTACTGGAATGCGAAGGTGGGCCTAAATGCTTCGCCCGGCCGTCTCTCGACTCATCGCGTGCAGTGGCAAACCTCTTCCATCTGCTGCTTCCCGTCCACAAGCACCACCGACCTACCATCCTGCGGGCCCTCTTCCGACTCGACCGTCGAGTCCTCGTAGGCAGCGGGCTAGCTAAACAAGTGGGTGCACTGACACGCCACCTCGGCGACCCGCAACCCCCCATCCACAAGCTGCCGGGTGGACGATTTGCGATCATGCGTGTTGTCGTGACACCTACGCGTGTCATGCCGTTCCCCGCCTCCATCGAGACGGGCAATCGCGTGCTGAGGGCGTGGCCGGACGAGGTGATCGATGGCAGGATTATACGAGTTGGCTTCGCGGACGAGGATGGGCGGATGAAGATGAAGAAGGCTCTCGTCGAGGCCGAGGTACGTTGGTGTCGTTGCTTATTCTGCAAGGCTTGAACCAGCTTAGGAAGTGGATCCTGATCGTGGCCTGCTTGCCCGTGTTCACAATGTTCTCGTCAATGGGGTGTGGGTGGCTGGCAGACTCTACGTGTGCGTGGCCGTCGCAAAAGTGCTTTCGCTTTCGTTTCACACATTTTTCAGTTTCCTTGCAGCTGGCGAATCTCAGCTCAAGGACCATTCCTGCTGGATGGTGTGTGAAACGGGTGCGTTCACTGCCGACGCTGTGCGTAAGCAGATGGGAGATTTCTCCAAGGAGCAGGTTGGTGCGTATCAGTGCTTTGCTAGCTCGATTGTTTGTTAAATGACGCCTAGTGGCCAAGTATGCGGCGCGCATGGGCCTCTGCTTCAGTGCCACCAAGCACGTCGTACAACTCGATATGGGTGACATTGAGGATCTGCCGGACGTCACTCACGGCAAGTAGTCAGTCCGAATGATCTCTTGTGCTGCCCCCTACTGATATGTTCAGCACTTTTACTGATGGCGTCGGGAACTGTAGTCAGGCGCTGGCAAGCCTGTGCGCCAAGGCACTAGGAAAGATAGCAGAGCCATCTGCAATTCAGATTCGAATGGGCGGGTGGGTCAGCGAGGTTCCATCACGCATCTCAGGCTTCTCTAATGAGATACGGTATAGAATCAAAGGCGTTCTTTCTGTCCACCCGCATCTCGAGGACAATCAAGTGTGCATCCGCCCGACGATGCGGAAATTCGACTCCCCGTTGCGCGATCTGGGGGTGATGAAGGTGTCGGGGTTTGCCCCAGCCCATCTGAATCGCCAAGCCATTCTGATCATGGAGGCACTCGGGACGAACATCCGTGCGCTTTTGGACAAGTTCAAGGAGCAGATTCACCACGCCAACAACCTCGAAAACGACTTGCGCAGTCTCACGCCGGCACGTTATGGTACTCGGAAGCTATACCAGAAGGCGATGATCCCGATCGCGAAGATGTTCAAGGCGGGATTGGAGAAACATGTCCTGGTCAAGAATGTACTACGTTGCATCAAGTGTCAGCTGCTGCGTGACTTGAAGTACCGGGCGGTGAGATGGCTTCGTCTTCTCTTTTGTGCTGACGGCTGAGCATGTCAATCACAGCGCTTGTTGGTGCCCGAAGGCGCGTTCCTGATGGGTGCGTATTAGTCTAGTATCCGTCATCCTCCCCCTCAGGTCTTTTATAGGAATTGCCGACGAATACGAGTGAGCTTCCCGTTTACAGCCCATTGCCAAGCAATCGATTCTTTGGAGTGTTTTGGAAGAAGGACAAGTGTATTGTGCGATCACACCCACGAACGGTGCACGACGAGTGATCACCGGCCAGGTCCGTCACAACTGTGCAGTGCTCTGTTTCATATTGAAGCAAACCTGCAGTGTACGATATTCCGTTCGCCCTGCATCCATCCCGGCGACGCGCGTTTGGTCCAAGCAGTCGATCACGAAGCCTTCCACAAATACCCGCTTACTAATGTCATCGTATTCAGCACGAAGAAAAGCAAGCGGGATTTGCCGTCCATGCTGGGAGGTGGAGACCTGGACGGGGACTTCTATACCCTCATCTACGATAAAGAGCTGCAGTACGCATTAAATTGGGTCAGCATTCACTCATTGACAGACCGCAGAATCACTCGAGAGCACGAAGCTATGGACTACACTCCAGTCGTGCCTTTGAGGAAGGACAGAATCGCGATTTCCGACATCTGCCAATTCGTAGTCGGTAAGCAGCCAATCGAACAGCTGCATGAGCTCATGCCATGCGCCCAGATTTCATTCGGAGCGATATTCTCGGGCTGGTCGCCTCCGACATCATGGCACTCTCGGACCATCTCGGACCCACCCATCCAGACTGCCTCGAACTCGCCAAAATCAATTCCGACGCCGTTGATTTCGCCAAGTCGGGTGTGCCTGTACACCAGCCATCTCAGTATGTCGTGTTTCGGCTATCGTGTGCCCTGTGTCACTCATGTCATTGGGATAGTCTGCGTCCCACGCATTTTCCCGATTTCATGGACAAGGACCCGCTCCGATCGTACAAGAGCACTCACGTGCTGGGGATGATGTTCCGGCTGATCGAGCCTGCGCCGACGTACGAGGGCTCGGATGATGTCCATGTCGAGAGACGATTTACGACGCGCAAGGTCCCGCCGACCTATCTCAAGTTTGCGGGCGAGATGAAGCAGACCGTGGGTCGTCTCGGCCCGTCTTATGACTGCCCTTGGCTGATCGGCTTCGCAGTACGACGTGGAGCTGGAAGGGATGATGAGGCAGCACAGCCTGTGCGAGGCGGAGATCATCGCTGGCGTTTCTATCATGAACGAGCACAAACGCCGGCGGGCAGCCGACGATGCCATGCGGGTGTGTTCTGGTGCCGTGCCCTCCTGATCCCACTGAGCCGCTGTCCAGGGCCCCGTGCGGGAGGGAATCGAGGCCCTCCGGTATCAGTTCCGCCGCGACGCGCGGCGCTTCGTGAAAGACAATCCTTCAGGGAACGCCATGGAAAACTGGGCACTGGCGTGCTACCAGGTCACGCACGTGGCGGAGTTCCGGCAGCGCTTCGTCGATGCGCTGAATCCGAGTCGGCTGGGGTCGGCCGGGGTCTCGAGCGTGGGTGGGTACGCCAGCGACGACGACGACGACGAGGAGGAGCAGGTGTACGGCGAGGTGAAGCGGAGGGAGCTGGTGTCGTTTCCATGGATCTGGGCTGATGGTGTGTGTCTTGTCTTCTCACGTGGGTGAGAGACCGTTGACGGAAGAACCAGAGCTGTGCCATTCTGTGTCGGAGAATGTAATCAAAGAAGAAGACGAGGAGGACGAGGATCTGCTGGAAGCCTGGTGCAGCCCATGGGACGAAGGCGACGAGGACAACAACCGTGCTCGCCCCACGGACGGGCCTCAGGTGGCTCTCAAGAAGGAGGAGGAGGAGGAGATCGTGATCACAGGCCATAAACCCGGGCGGGAGGTGATAGTTCTAGATGATGATTAGTTGTGAGCCTCTTTGGCCTGTCCAGTTTGCAAACGCACCGCTATGTGTGGTCGGCATTGCCTTCACGAGACGCGAGTACTGCCGTATCACCGCTAAAACTGCATCCCTATAGCAGCCGGGCTCGTCATCCTCTTATTCATGCCCGCACAATGGGTCGTGTTCGTCAGCAGGGGATAATGGGACCGAATCCAGGGACTTCGGGCCCACCATTATGCGTGCGCCGTGCCGATCCCTTAAGGAGATATTCTCGCTGTTGCGTCGATTCCGAATTGGAGGACGCTTGTGTGTTCAATCGGCCCATAGATTGTGCCCGTTTGGTCTCGACGATAGATGTGTGCAGGATAACCGACAGTTCATACTGTATCTTCGCATGAGCCTCGTGCGCAGTCTGTCAAGAGAGCCAGTCATGGAGAGGATAGATCTCAAACGGCGACGGTAGATTGGAGCAACCCGCTGTCCATGGATGTTGTTACCAGCTGGAGCTGAAACTTGTCCCTCTTAAGCAGTAAGTACACTTACTAGTACAACAGAAGTACTACTTTACAGACTATTCACGATGGCTTGAAGCTCGTCCAATGCCTGGTCTGTAAGCCCCATCTTAGAGTCAGGACCGAGGACCGCGCAGACCTCTGCGTCGTCGCCCTCGTCCCCCACACAATCCATGACATACCGCAGCTTCCTCCCCGAGGCATAGGCGGTGTACACCAGGGCAATCGCCAGCACCGCGCGCACCGCGCGCACCGGACCCACGAGCAGCATGCGCACCGGATCCGTGCGGGACTCATACACCGGCGGCAGCCCCAGCTGCTCAAAGGGGTACGCGTCGCCCAGATCGACGTCGTCCCCGTCGTCCGAGAGCGTGACGGTGGTCGAGTAGTACGGCAGCGCCAGCGCCAGGAAATCGCGCACCAGCAACAAGTGGTGGCGGCGCAGCGGCAGGCCGCCGTCGCGCGCCCACGCGTCGATGTTGCGCGGGCGCTCGAACAGGTCCAGGACCTGCGCCGGGCCGAGGTCGGAGATGCGCAGGCTGCCGGGCAGGTGCGCCTTCGACGCGCGCAGGATGCGCACGGCGTGCGTCCAGTTGCCCGCAGGCAGCGCCGCGCTGTCCGTGGCAAACGCCTGCGGCTGGTCGAAGGCGCAGAGGGTGTGCAGGTGCGGGATCAACTGCCGCGCGGACGGCCCGGAGGACGTCGATTCGGATGCGGAGGGGCCACTCTCGGTTGCGCGCGGCGGAGGCGGCAGCGGCGGAGGCACACAGCTGCGGCGGTTCGCTGCGACGCACATCGGGGACGCGGGTGGGGTGCGGCCGGCCGTGGAGAAGAGGTCGGTGGGGAGCTTGGATCGGGTGGCGCACGGGTCGACGTCTGTACAGACGCGCAGGGAGACAGTGCAGCGTTCTCTGAGGCTGGGGCTGCGGTTGGCCGCCATGAGATTCGCGCGTAGCAAGGTGTAGACTTGGATGAGGAAGGTGGACGTCGTCGCGAGGTGCGCTGCTCAGTTCGCGACAGAGACGTGATCTGGTCATCGGTGCGCGCGTGCGATCTTTTATGCGTGGTGCTGACAATGCACCACCACGACAAAGCCGCGAGTGCCATTGTTGGGCTGAAAGAGAGATCAAAAAGCGCGGACAGGACAAAGAGCAGAGGACGCACGACGTCGAGCATGCCTGCAGTTTTCATTCCGGTCTTGTTCTCCGCTTTAAAGCCTTTCGTGGAGAGCGTTTATGGCCCGTGGCGGCTATCGTCGAGGTGCAAGTATTTCCGCCGAGCGCAGTGTCGAGGGCGCCCGAACTTGACATGGGTGGAATGTCCAAACATATGATAGAACCCGCAAGAAGCAAGTCGATGTCCAACAGTCGACGCTGATAAGGAGTATGGGAGATCGTCCATCAGATCGCATACAGTACGCGCAGAATTCCAGTGTCGGATCTACCGTTCCAGTGATGAGTGATTCTTTGGGTCATGCCAACGACTCTAGCCCGCGGGACCCTAGACCGAGAAGGCTCGTCAAGTCCGTTGCGTGCTGTTGCATGCTTGCTGTCCGGCTCCTTCCGTGTCGTTCAGGGTTCGGAGGCGGGGGAGGGAAGCACGGGGGGACCCGCGTCAAAGCAGTTGCGGGACGACACACCTCGGCTGCACAGCCTCTGAATCCATGCCGCGCGCTCCTTTCTGCTCCCTTACAAATCCACCATCCCTCGTGACACCGCTTAACGACGGCCTCTTGGCGCGGCTCAAGCCTCCTCAGCAGGGCATTCCCGGGCTCGATCGGGCTGAGGCGCAAGTAGCCGCAGAATGGCAGTCTCAGAAACTGTGCTCGAAAACACCGTGCGCGATCTGACACTGTCGCCTGGAAGCGTGGCAGCAAGGCAAGGGCGGATCGCGTCCAAATGCGGTGGTTCCCGACGCAATGATCATGATGATCTTCGCGAAAAGCGTCCGAAGAAGCTGGTGTTGTGTGGCACAGCGTGGATCCCGACACATGGCATTCTGTGTGCCAGTGCGACGGTCGGAGGACGGTGGCTCGCCGGATGACGCAGCTGCTGCCGAGACTGAGCGGGTGGGTCTTGATATAAGTAAGGCATGTGAGGGAGGGAGGGAGCCAGCAAAATTAACCCGGCACGCGATTTCGCAATGCTCACCAAGACCTTCCTTCCCCTACTTTCCCTGGCCGTGGTGGCCTCCGCGCAGGTGCAGTCCCCCATCTTCGACCTCGGGTACGCCAAGTACCAAGGCGCGGTCAACACGACCACCAATGTCACCAGCCTGATCGGCATCCGGTACGCTGCGCCCCCCGTCGGTGAGCCCTTTCTCTCTCTCTCTCGGTAGTGGTGGCTAGGATGAGACGAGGCTAAGCGGCATGCAGGGGACCTGCGATTCCGCGCGCCCACGGCGCCGGCGAACGTCAGCGGCGTCCAGTCTGCCACTGTCGAGGCGAACCAGTGCTACCAGGCGTTCATCGGCAAGGCGCCCGGCAACTTCATGTCGCTGAAGCGCGCGACGATCTCGCCCAGCGAGGACTGTCTTTTCCTCAAGTGCGTGGGCTGGGCATCTGCGCTTTTAGTATAATCCCACTGATTGGCTTGCACAGCGTCTTCTATCCGAGCGATGCCGCTGGTAAGCCCAAAGAGAAGCTGCCGACGCTGTTCTGGATCCACGGCGGAGGGTCAGTTGGTTGTTTTGGATTCTTGATTCTCCCGCTCAGTGCTTCTCAGATACGATGTTGGCGACATCAGCAACTTTGACGGCGGCGACATCATCCGGCAGGCCAACCAGGGCGTGGTCGTCGTCACTATCCAGTACCGTCTCGGTGCCTTCGGTGTGTAGATCCCAGCGATACTTGCGTGTTTTGCTGACTCTGGGGAAGGTTTCCTGCCGGGAACGGCGACGAAGGAGGACGGAGACCTGAACGCTGGTATCCGTGAGTTGCTTTCCATCTCCACAATTCCGCAGAGGCTCATCCGTCTTTTCCAGTCGACCAGGACTTTGCGTTGCGCTGGGTTCAACAACACGCAAGTATTCTATTTCTGCACTCTCTTCAGCGATCATAACATGTCGCAGATCTCCCAATTCGGCGGTGATCCTTCCAAGGTTACGATCTGGGGCGAGAGGTTCGTAAGCTTCCATCTGTGGCGTTCCGTGATTGACAACATCTGCAAAGTGCTGGTGGTGGCTCGGTGCTCCAGCACCTGATTGCCAACAACGGAAAAACTCAGCCCCAGCTTTTCCGCGCTGCGATCACCAGCTCGAGCTACCTCCCTCCTCAATACAAGTACGACGACCCCGCCGCCGAGGTCGGTGCTTCTTATTCAGCCCGCCTCTTCTGTCACTCATGTTTTGTCTACAGATTCTGTTCAACACCTTTGCGGCCCAGAACAAGTCGGTGCTCCTGCGATAACGCCGTTCCATTATTTCTCACGCATGGGTCTTTGACAGCTGTACATCTGCCGCGGACGTCATGTCGTGCCTGCGATCTGTCGACGCCTCGGCGATGGCCACGGTGAACAACAACGTCAACAACGGCGGCTTCTTCGGCACGTTCACGTGGGTGCCTGTGGTTGACGGCGAGTACATCGTCCAGTCCCCGATCGCCGCTCTGCAGAAGCGCAAAGTCAACGGCGTAAGTGGTTTTGGCTGCCTCAGTGTGATATGTTATTGACTCAACCGACACCAGCAAGCGCTCTTGGCGATCGCCAACGCGTTCGAGGGAACGATTTTCATCAACACCACGTCGAACGTGAACGCGTCGCAATACGCGCTGGAGCTGTTCCCGCATCTCACCGAGACGCAAGCGAAGAAGGTCGGCTCGCTGTATGCTGGTCTCGGGGACAATGTGTTCCAGGTTGAAGCCATCATGGGCGAAGGTGGGTTGCGTTTCTGCTCGGGTTTGGACTGTTTTTGATTCTGGGGCAGCGATCTTTATCTGCCCTTCGTACTACCTCGCAAACGCGTACTCTGGTCACTCGTGGAAGGTGTGCCCTTCTCTTCCTGCGTCTTCGATAGGCTAGGAAGCTCACGAACTGCAGGGTAAATTCGCCGTGCCCCCCGCGCTCCACGTCGACGACACCGCCTACTACTGGCCGACCGGCAACCCGCCGCCGTACCAGAACACGCAGTTCATCAACGCCTTCGCGCAGTCGTTCACGTCGTTCATCGTCAACCTCGACCCGAACCAGAAGATCAACGCGAACACGCTCACGCCGCAGTGGAACCAGTACGATGTGAACCAGACTGAGATGCTGTTCAACAGGACCGAGGCGGGTGTACCCGTCGTCAGGGCGTTCAACACCGACCCGCTCCTCGACGCGCGCTGCAGGTCCGTGCCTCGTCCCGTCGTGCGCTGTGCTTGCTGATGTTGTTTGGTGTGTAGGTTCTGGAATAGCGCCCGTAAGTCGCCGGTTCAGTGGTAGATTGCCGCAGGGTTTGATGACCGACCGCTCAGTCGGGTGTCTCTCTTTTCTACTTATGGTAGCTAGTAGCAAAACTAATCGAACAATCTTCTTAATCCCATCCGGTTGTGGCCTCTCTACTCGAAACGTTTCTCATTTATCTCCAGAAATCGAGGGTCCGCGTCACCTACTGGTTGCCCACTTTGAGGCTTTGCATCGAGTGTATTTCTCTTCCGGGGTCGCCGAGGTGTCGTGTCAGTGCACCCACTTGTTTGGCTAGCCCGCTGCCTACGAGGACTCGACGGTCGAGTCGGAAGAGGGCCCGCAGGATGGTAGGTCGGTGGTGCTTGTGGACGGGAAGCAGCAGATGGAAGAGGTTTGTCACTGCACGCGATGAGTCGAGAGACGGTCGGGTCGAAGCATTTAGGCCCACCTTCGCATTCCAGTAGGAGCCCCTGTCCGACCAGTCCCATGACCAGGTACCGCACATTGAAGGGATGCTTCTGTATCGCCAGGAGGTCGTCCAGAGGCGGAGCCGGGTCGTCGCGAAGCCATCCTCTGCGCTCAGTGCCGTTCACAACGTCCCCTCCCAGCCCAGAGTTCTCAAACTCCATCTTCTCTCCGCGAGTGCGTTCCAGGGTGCGCAGCCGAGAGAGTGCCGTGGTCACACGCTCCAGTTCCGCGCGATTGCAGATGAACGTGAACCCGTACGTCAGCCGCTGACCGAGCTGCTATGTAGTGAGCGCGACGGCGAAGCCAGAACGCGCGAAGGGACCAAAGGCGCCTCCATCGGCATGCGTGGCCTGAATCCACGCGCCACCGTCCCTGGTGCACCCGCGCCAAACTCATCTATCTCGTCGGGACTCCAATCGAGCTCCGTCGCACGACGCGTCTTGAGGCCCGGTGGGCTATCCCTGAGGTAGCGGAAGTCCGCCTCGACGAGGGGCGGGCGCCGAACGGTGATTATGAGCGTGTTATGGGGATGTTCGAAGCGTTCCTGTGATGAGCTGGAGTCTGGACTGTCATAATGTCGTCTGTGGAGGCGACCGTCTGGAGGACTGGTCTCCGGTGAGGGAGTCAGGCTGTGTCAAGAACGAACTCGGAACAGAACAAGGCGAGTCGTGGCATCTTCAAAAGAGAGGCGGAAGAACAGCCGCTGAGGATGTGTACAGTCATGTCCAAATACATGATGCCAGACCCACCCCTGTTTCAAGCTGGAGCTGTCCTGAAATACTTCCGAAAGATATGGCCTGAGACGATCCCAACGCAAACTCCTCCGGTCGGACGAAGAATGCTGGGAAACTCAGCACATCAACTCAATGGCACAAATCTAAGGCGGGAGTTCTTGAGATCAAAGGGCCAACGTACCTGGTGCTTCCCTTGGCTTCTGTGCAGCCAATGGCGAGAAGGCGGGTATGGGAACCGGGGCCAGATTGTAAGTCAATAATTATGGTATACCAGCGTAACGTCACTTGCAATGTAGTCAAGATAATCATCGAAGCTTGATTCCATAAATCGAGTGTGTTGAAAGATAGAGGATTGAGCACAATAACTACATAGGAGCAGAGCAGAGCCTAAGAAGATCTAGAAAACGCGCAACCAAAGAACGACGGACGCCGCCAGTGATGACTCCCGGCGGCGATGTAGCTCACAGTTAGTCACTACTAAGCTCGCTTCCACCTTCTATAGTAGTTTTAGCTGAGTTTCCTCCAAGCGTTCAGAGTTACCTTCTATGAGGCTGGGCTTGATAGAGGGGCGTCGCCTCGGAGTTTGAAAAATGACAGTTGTCCGGTACAGTAGTGCCTTCTCTGCGATCACTCTAGGACTGATGAGGTACTAGATAAGAATCTTGTCTTCTGTCGCATCGACATTTTGGTACTTCCCTTCAGTCACCTGCCCAAAGCATTTGTGGGGACTCCATTCATCCGTCATCTCATTTTAGTAGACACTTTGTATGCAAAACAATCCGAATCTGGCCTTTTCGATGATGTTCTTCCACTACCGCTAAACGAAGGCACAGCAACTCCCTCCGATGCATACAAAGAGCTTTCCAAAGTCGGAATTTACAACCCCGATCCAGATGGGAGCGGCGCTAGGATGTCTATTGGTGGACACGGCCAAGATGCGAATAATCACACTGGGAAGCTTGTGTACAATCGAGAAATGGAAGCCCGTGCAGCAAATTCGGTCCCCTCAAGTCCTCGTACTTCCTTCGAGCGCTCTCAAGCCGTTGAAAAGACAATTCTAGAACCAGGGTATGGCGTTAGAGCTCTCCGCTCCCAATATAAAGGCTCCCTCAGTCGGACTCGGGCTACTACGTCGCCTCTCCCTCACATCCTCTGATCGATACCATGCATCTCAAAACAGCATTTACGGCCCTGCTGGGCCTGCTTATCTCCGGAGCGAATGCGCATGGGCTGGCGAGTGTGCAATCATTCGGACGTGGCCCAGCCGTGCTCATGGTCAAATGACAGCATGAATCCCCAGTGAACCTGATGAATGTGGCGTACAATGCTTCGATATTCATTCTTCCTGGTGCTCAGTCCCCCGCCACGGTTTACATTGCCAAAAATCGGGAGAACGACGATTCTTCTCGCGTATGTGCCAGATCCCGATCACAGACACGCAGAGTCCCTGCTCATCGCTCGGTTATAAAGTGGCATGAATGGTACCTGGACTCGCCCAATCGATTCTACACCCACGAACACCCCAGGGACCTCCAATTATTATGTAAAATGGCTTCGAGGCCCCCTCCGGAGGCCATCAAACCACCCCCTACCCCCCCTGATCGGAGGCCATCCTGGAGGCGCCTTCCTAATTGGGATGCTGCCTGGCCATTTGTCCACTGCCTGTATGGTAGGCTAGGGATTGGCCTGAGTGCTGATATATGCTGTAGTAGTCAGTATAAAGCCTCAGACAATGTCTTACCTCTCAAAAGCATGTATTTCTTGCTTGCAAATGGCAGACCACTGGGTGCACAAAATTCGGGATCTGAGTACGTGAGCACTCCTCAGGTGCATAGAGCAACAGTATATATATTAATTCGAGATTGAGCATGAGGTAGCTGTGCCCACACGCAAAAAATGAGATGTTGCTGAAGGGATGGTTTATGGCCTCCACGACCTCCCAGGGGCAGAAAAAAAGGTGTTGGGTAGCCCACAGGCCCTTGAATTCCGCTTCAATAGATCAATTTGATGCTTATGCTTTGTCAAAGCAACAGCCCAGGATATAAATTAGATGCTGGTGCAGTGGCAGAACTAGCCTCCACCGCCTCCAGGGCTGGGGACCAAAAGCGGTTATTGTAGATTCAGCCACATAAACCATATTTCTGATGTTGTTTGTCCTAGTCAGAATTTCTGGGTATTCCAGAGAGACAGGTGGCTACATAGATCAGATGCTAGCAGCAATAGCAGAACTGGCCTCCATGGCCTCCACAGCCAGTGACCAAAAGCGGTTTTTTGGGTTCAGCCACATAAGCCATGTCTATGAAGTTGAAGGTCTTTATTATAATTACAAGGGTCCTTTAGTTAGATGTCTCACCACGTGAATCAGATGCTGGAGCAAATGGCAGAACTGGCCTCTACCGCCTCCACAGGTTATTACTTGAAGAGTCTGGATGAGATGACAATGTAACAGATAGATGTTCTCATAGATAACTATGTTCTGCTATTTATACCTCTGCATGCTAGTTTGATTGCAATAAAATGTTGAATTCAGAGAATGGGGGACCCTGGAGGCACTGGAGGCGCATGCAAGATCCAATCAATATCATCAATGCTATCAATGCCATCAATAGCATCAAGAGCATCACCGATCATTGGTAGATTGATCAGCCAATCAAATCATGAATAAAGATCGAACATCTAGTATATTCATTCCTGAGAGACACAGACTAGATGTATCCTCATGCTGATGGTGGATTAGTGGTCCCAGGACATGCCCCAATGACATATTGCATGCTTGTCTCAAGAACATATGATTGAAATTCGGAGTTTGCAAATGAACTGAAAGTCAACTGAAGATGAGTGGTACAGTGGAGTACTTTCAGCTCATTTGCCAAATCCGATTTTTAATCATATGTCCCTGAGACAAGCATGCAATATGTCATTGGGGCATGTCCTGGGACCACTAATCCACCATCAGCATGAGGATACATCTAGTCTGTGTCTCTCAGGAATGAATATACTAGATGTTCGATCTTTATTCATGATTTGATTGGCTGATCAATCTACCAATGATCGGTGATGCTCTTGATGCTATTGATGGCATTGATAGCATTGATGATATTGATTGGATCTTGCATGCGCCTCCAGTGCCTCCAGGGTCCCCCATTCTCTGAATTCAACATTTTATTGCAATCAAACTAGCATGCAGAGGTATAAATAGCAGAACATAGTTATCTATGAGAACATCTATCTGTTACATTGTCATCTCATCCAGACTCTTCAAGTAATAACCTGTGGAGGCGGTAGAGGCCAGTTCTGCCATTTGCTCCAGCATCTGATTCACGTGGTGAGACATCTAACTAAAGGACCCTTGTAATTATAATAAAGACCTTCAACTTCATAGACATGGCTTATGTGGCTGAACCCAAAAAACCGCTTTTGGTCACTGGCTGTGGAGGCCATGGAGGCCAGTTCTGCTATTGCTGCTAGCATCTGATCTATGTAGCCACCTGTCTCTCTGGAATACCCAGAAATTCTGACTAGGACAAACAACATCAGAAATATGGTTTATGTGGCTGAATCTACAATAACCGCTTTTGGTCCCCAGCCCTGGAGGCGGTGGAGGCTAGTTCTGCCACTGCACCAGCATCTAATTTATATCCTGGGCTGTTGCTTTGACAAAGCATAAGCATCAAATTGATCTATTGAAGCGGAATTCAAGGGCCTGTGGGCTACCCAACACCTTTTTTTCTGCCCCTGGGAGGTCGTGGAGGCCATAAACCATCCCTTCAGCAACATCTCATTTTTTGCGTGTGGGCACAGCTACCTCATGCTCAATCTCGAATTAATATATATACTGTTGCTCTATGCACCTGAGGAGTGCTCACGTACTCAGATCCCGAATTTTGTGCACCCAGTGGTCTGCCATTTGCAAGCAAGAAATACATGCTTTTGAGAGGTAAGACATTGTCTGAGGCTTTATACTGACTACTACAGCATATATCAGCACTCAGGCCAATCCCTAGCCTACCATACAGGCAGTGGACAAATGGCCAGGCAGCATCCCAATTAGGAAGGCGCCTCCAGGATGGCCTCCGATCAGGGGGGGTAGGGGGTGGTTTGATGGCCTCCGGAGGGGGCCTCGAAGCCATTTTACATAATAATTGGAGGTCCCTGGGGTGCCCACGAAGACAGCAACTTGGTGCTCACCGTCGACCGCAAAACAGTAGGTCAGATCTTCACGTATCTCCCTTGTCTCAGCATCCCACAACAGAACCGTGTGGTGGGCACGGATTACGGAACCACGTTCGCGCAGGAGGATGCTGACAATAATGACGTTCAAGTTGTAAGCTCTTTTTTATTCCCCTTCGAAGTCGTCTCGACCAGACGTACATCGCCAGATCAAGCTTCCCTATGCGGACCAAGTGTGGGATATCATTCACGATCAGAAGGACACCCACCCTGAGTACGGCATTGTGCGTGGCAATCTTAATTCTTCCGGCCGTGGCTGATCACGCTCAGTTGGTGCTTCGTCCAGCGGCGGGAACGAAATCGCAGCGTTGGACGGATCCCGTGTACTGAACGAAATTGCAGCATTGGATGGCCCTCGTTCATTTTGGTTCCACGGGAAATAAACAGTAATTCTTTGAACTTGAGAATCTCTAAAGTGAATGGTTTTACGGGTTGTGCGTACCAATAACAGTTGCGGCTTGACGACGTGTTGAATGAAAAATATGGATTCAACGGGAATCAATCCCCTGTTGGGTCAAAACTCCCGGGTCTACAGAAATCCCCGCGGGACTCCCGCAGATCTGGCCCAGCAGAACTCCAGAAAAATCCAAGTCCTGCTCTGGACAACGACGGCAGAGTTTGACATTCTGTCAACGTTAGCATGGAGTCTGATGTAGTAAAAGGTAATCCCAAACTGTTGCATCAGTTGTAGTGTTGACATTGCTAAGAACAATGAGGTCAAAGAATCGGGTCCCGTATGGAGGCCTGGAGAGCCCTGCCGCTTGGCAGTGATAGGTGATGTTGCTCACTACGTTCCGTGGGTACCTATTCCCTGGACCAGTATGGAAACCTGAAGAGGTGCTCATGTCAAACAGTATGCAATGCAATGATTGATGAGTGGTGTCAAGACCCCGGACCCATGCATGTGAAGGGACATTACAAGCACACAGACTGATAGATTCAACAATCCCATCTGTTGTCTGTTGCTGTCTTTAATTGCAAGAACTGGACTTCTTGGGCTGGTCTTGTAACCACCTTCTTGGAGTCTCAAGGCATCACGTATGCTCTCACTGAGAAATGACCCACTTGTCTGATGGACAAAGATGGCAAGGTTACCAACAAATCTGATGTTCACCAATGGAAGACCAATGACCTCAAGGCTAAAGGAAACATGAAGCTGCACCTGACCAAGGTTGTCAGGGCTAACATTCCTGAATCAAATGCTGTCACAGCTGCTGGAATTTGGAGTTACTTGATGGAACAATATAGTAGCACCAAGTCTGTAGACCTGTTTGCACTGTTCCAGTCAGTGTTAAACACCCAAGTACAATGCTACCCAGCATCCTGATCAACAGCTGCTGATTATCAAAACTGCCTTCACTACCTTGCACCAACCTTAACTGAGAAAAAATGAGATCTCTTGGGACTAACCTTTATCCCAACCCAAACCTGAACCTGAACCGCTAACCTCCGTGCCCAGAGGGGCACAGCTTGTTCAAGACACTAAGGCCATCAACACCTATTGTGGAGGGATCGCGGCGGCAATGATTGCAATGAGCTCGCACATGCTGTGGTGATGCAATGTCAGCTGATAGAGGCCACGCTATGGCTGTAGCCATATAAATTGCTTTCAAATCTATGGCTGTAGCCATGGCTCGGCTACAGCCATAGATTTGACTAACTCCGCTATGGCTACAGCCATAGCATTTGACTAATAGCTAGCACTAAGGGTGCTCGTGGAAGGTTTGCCCTCTTCTAAGTACAAGTTGGACTGACGGACTGCAGGGCGAGTTTGCCGTGCACCATCAAGCCGCAGTGGAATCGGTACGATGTGGACCAGACTGAAATGCTGTTTAATAGGACCGAGGCGGGAGTGAGGCTTGTCCAGGCGTTCAACACCGATCCGCTCCTGGACGTGCGCTGCAGGTGGGGGATTTGTCATTCCGGGGCTTGCCGCGCCTGATGTTATTTTCTAGATTCTGGAATAATGCCCGCCAATCGCCGGTGGGATGGTAGATCTCAGGAGGAGATGCTGATCAACCGCCGAGTCCTATCTTAGCACAGAAAAGGAATTGAACAATCTTCTCATCTCGACTCTCCATCCGCAATGTTCCACGTCATTCGCCAGACAGTGAGAGAGTGTCCGCCTTCATTACAGACAGGGCATTTTGAGTTCACTATAAAGTATACAAGTACCCGACAATCCGCGTATTCCTGTGCTCCGCCCCTACGAGCGCCATTCCGAATGGGGATGCAGGCCCCAATTCTCCAACCACGTCTGGAACTCGCCGGCGATCTTTGCATGCCCCGCGACAGTCGGGTGTTGGTTGCTGAAGAGCGGTCAGTACAGTGAGCGCGATGCGTTCCCGCGCGCGGCAACGCACTCTGGGAAGACATCTGCGAAGGTGACCCAGCCGGTGGTGTTGACGAGGAAGATGTTCTTGTCGTCGTGCTCCGTTCTGCATCGCTGCGGTCAGACGAAATTCGGGAGTGTGGATGGGGACAGAACGTGCTTTCTGAGATTCACGATCTTCTCGTATTCTCCGGGGTAGTAGTAGAAGGTCGGCGCGTCGGCGCTTGGCCAGCCCCACTGCGAACCTGAATTGAGTTCCATGTTGGCCGAGCGGGAGCTGAACGCACGGGCGAGAGTACGAAGATGGGAACATGTGCGTACTCGCGCATGGATCGGAGACGGGCCAGGAAATCGGTGTAGACCTGCTCATTCGTCAGCTTGGGAGACTTTGGGAGGAGGAAAGTATGGTGACCTGGACGAACTGATCTGCAGGGACATTCTGACCGGAATCGTTGGCACTGAGAACGATCTAATCAGATCCGGCCCGCGGGTCTAGGGGGACGGACGCACCCGATGTGGATCACGAGGTGCGTGGCCGGGGTGTCTTTGGAAAAGTCCCACGGCGTCGTGTAATTGTGGTCCGTGGTGTAGTAATACCCCGTGTCCTCGGTCTACGAAAAAGTCATCAAGGTGAAATTGGTAGCCGGGACTCCGTCGCGTACACGGAAGAACTGGAATGAGAGGCCGTGCGCGTTCCCGTACGAGAAGATGTCCTGTCCAGGAGGATCAGCCGTGGTGATCACAGCCGGAGATCTGTGAGTGGCGTACGGTCAATGCAGCACCCGGCTGTGCTACGACAACGTGCTCGGCCTTGTACTGCTCCCCCACGAGGAACGGCCAGGCCTGATCGACACCCTTCGGAAGGAATTGTCCCTGCGCAGCATGAGCACGGGCTGGGGGTGGGGGCGACGCGAAAGGTTTACGGCGGACAGAGAGTCTCCGATGAACTGGAACACGGTTCTCGAGGGTGTGTACGGGACCAAGGACGCTCCCTGCCCATCAAGAATCACACCTCGCACGGATAATCCTCACGACAGACGCACTTCGTTCAAGATGATCTCCTCGAGATTAATCCTATTCGCCTGCCAGCCCTCGACATTGACCCTGACGACCGTCGCCTCCGACTTCTTCTTGCCCAGAGCGGACGGCGGCAACGGGATCTGGTTGACGCCCGCGGACACGTTCGCCGTAATGAACGCGCCGTAGTCGACCGACACGCCGACAGCCGCGTTCGGCTGCGTCGTGTGCGGCCCGAGACTAAGCGCGAGCGATTGGAGGTTGGCGACGTGCAGCTTGAAGCCGGAGCCCGCCCTGCACCACGCGGTTTCGCAACGACTCGGGTGCATATAGGGTATGGCGCGACGCACCACCAGGTCCCGGGCGACGTGTCCCACCGGCCGTGGAAGTAGACAAGCGGATCCGTGTTAGAGATCGTCACGTTTTTGGGGCCGGCCATCGCGAGGCGGGCGAACAGCAGAGCGAGCGCGGCGGCACTGAGATGGGCTCGCATCGTTTTGCTCTCCACACGTCCTGGACGAGAGGCGGTTTATGTAGCCTCGAGGGCTTCTGTATGACTCTGGGGTGATGTTCCGAGCATTCTCCGAGGTTACAGAAGAGTTCAGAAGAGAGGCCTCGTGAGGGGGTGAGCTCAATGGATTGAGTCAGGAAGCACGTGGCACGAGCGCAAGCCGGAACGGTCCGATCACGGCGATCAGCGAAAACAACAGGATCTACGTTACCGTCCCCCCTTACAAGAAACCCGACAGCGAGTGTCCCTTATCAGCGCTTGGAAAAAAAACTAAGGAATTGTTTAGTTTGCGGTACGAACCAAACCGAACTCCGTCTCAAACATCGGAACCCTAGTCCTTTCTGTGGCAGAACGTGTTTTCTAGGATTCTTGGACCAGAGTTGACAAGGACCTTGGAGGTTGTACTTGAAGCATCATCATCTAAGTTTTGTCAATTTTCTGGGCTCGGTGCTCGGCACCCTCTTGGGTTCGCATCAAACTATCACCGTGGGAATCGAAAGCTGAACTTCAACACGGAACATTGCGCTCACATGACCCTCATCGATCGATCGTCGCTGATGGATTTGTCATCCTGCCAATCAGACACCTCGATCTTTTGCCAGGCATATGCTCCTCGTCTCCCGCCGACTCCCCCTCCCCCTCCTCCATCCCGGAAGACAGCGAGCATACATCGCACGTGCTCCTACAAAAAAGCTCTTCGTTCAGCCGTCGTACATAACTCTCCCGTCGCGATCCGCAGTGAAGATGATGACAGACACGGACGGAGGCAAGCCCACACGGGCGGCGTCACCGGGCTCCGACACGTCGCCGTCCTCGCGACCAGCAGCCAAGAAGCCGCGCCTCAACTCGCCCGACACGCCGCACGCAACGCCGGGCACCGCCTCCCCCAGCCTCAGAGCGAGCGACGCGACGCAGCCGAAACGCGGGCCAAAGAAAACGGGGCCGACGAGGACGCAGAAGCGCAAGGCGCAGCATGGTGCGCTGCCCGAGTTCTGTTCGCACGATGACGTGCTGTGGCGCGAGATCAAGGAGGTTCTCGGGGCGGAGTACGTCGATGGGTGCGTCGAGGCGGGCACGGGGCGCGACTCGCCGCTGGCGTATCATGCGGAGGTGGACGTGGAGGTGAAGGCGATCTCGTCTACAGGTGTGTCATATTAGTGCTCCTCTGTATTGAGTTCTGCTGCTCACGGGCACCCGTGCCAGGTAGCGCGGTCGGGGTCGTGCTTGGCTCCGCTGTCCCGTGGGCAGTGATCGTTCCGTTCTCTTTGCCGGGCGAGATTGTGCGCGCCAAGATCTACCGCAACGCGAGGATGCATTCGTTCGGTGACTTCAAGGAGGTGGTCAAGCCGAACCTAGAGTGGAGAGACGACAGTCGCGTGCAGTGCCAATACTTCGCCAAGTGCGGTGGGTGTCAGTATCAGGTGATTGCTCACTCTGGGAGAACTAAGCTCTGACGACTGATTCTGTGCTAGATGCTGTCGTACGAAAAGCAGCTTGAACTGAAGCGCGACGTGGTGGTCAAGGCGTACCAGAATTTCTCCGGTGAGTCTCCTCGTCGTCAATCTGCGTGAAGAATCTCACTCTTCAAGGCCTCGAGCAGTCAACCCTGCCGACCATCGGAACGACAATGCCATCACCCGAACAATACAACTATCGCACCAAACTGACACCTCATTTTGAGGCTCCGAACTCGAAGCAGAGGAAAGAGCAGGACAATCGTCAAAGCGATACCGAACGGCCGGATTGGTTCAGGATCGGATTCAACGAGAGCGGATCGCAGAGGGTGATTGACATTGAGGTGTGTTGGTTGCTTTTTCCTAGTGGTGTTTCCGACAGGGTCGCAGGACTGCCCAATTGCAACTTCGGTCATCCGTGAAACATTGCCTGCGGTACGGGAAAATGCTATCAAGTGACACATCATTTTTATGTTGTGACCACCAAGCTGACTTCCATCTCCTAGAAAACTCTTCACCTACAAAAAGGGTGTTTCCCTCATCCTGCGGGACTCGCTACCCTTGTCAACCGATAAGGACGCGGACCCCGAAACCCACATCTGCGTGACGGATCACAAAGGGACCGTGCGTGAAAAAGTGGGACCGTGGATATTCGAGTACCCCAACGGGTCCTTCTTCCAAAACAACAACGGCGTGCTACCTTTCCTCACTGATTACGTTCAGACCCAGATTTTCTCTGATGCCGGTAAACGTCCGACGCATCTGATCGATGCCTATTGTGGCTCAGGCCTCTTCGCGATCACCCTTTCCCCCCACTTTGAGCGAGTGGCGGGCATCGAACTCTCCACGGAGTCGATCCGCGCCGCGACGCGAAACGCGCAACTCAACTCGCTCCCGTCGTCCAAGATCTCCTTCCGCGCGGGGGACGCCGGCGACATCTTTCAGGTGATCGGCGATTTCCCTCCAGAGGACAGCGTGCTGCTGATCGACCCGCCGCGCAAGGGCACGGACGAGTCGTTCATCAAGCAGATGCTGATGCTGCGCCCGCGGACGGTGGTGTACGTGAGCTGCAATGTCCACACGCAGGCCCGCGATATCGGGATGATGCTGCGCGGGTCCGAGGCGGATGGGAAGAGGCGATATGTTCTGGAGAGCTTGCGTGGATTTGATTTGTTCCCGCAGACGGCGCATGTGGAGAGTGTCGCTGTGTTGAGACTAGCCCCAGCTGAGGAGTAGGTGTAACAGTCGATTCGATTGTTTAGCCTGGCATATTCGATCACACGCCGATGGACTGGTGAAAGGGTACTTGGTAACGAGTCAGGAGGGGTGTGGAGCCAACGTCAGTCAGTCATTCGATCCCTCCTAGAATGTTGTCAGGGAGACTGTGTAGTTTCATCTGGCAGGCATTCAAATTGCGGAATGCAGTGGTTGATGCAGTCCTGTTGGACATCAGAACTGCAAAGCCACGAGTGATTCCGCGGGCGGGGTTCCTTCCACACGTCGTGCGCCGGAGCTCAGGCATGAGACGATGAATGGAAAACGTGTCACGATGAAACTTGGTGACAATACGTGGTCCCCTGAAGCGTTGACCCGCGGATGAATTCCAAATTCGGTTCCACTGGATAAAAAACTCACTCTCTTTCGCTTTCGCTGTCCCCGCTCCTCCACCCCCCGAAAGTTCCTCTCTTTCCGTCCACATGGCCTCCTTCGCCCAGTTCGTCTCCATCACCGCCAACTCGGGTATCCCAGTCAGCGTCCGGTACACCATCTCGACCCCGACTGCCACGACCTCGAAAAGGATCGATCCGGGCCTGCCCACGGTCTTGTTCCTCCACCCTCTCTTCCTCGGGCAGACCTGTTTTCACTGTGAGTTGTGACGGTCAATCGCAGAGAGTTGATTGAGAATTGAACTGCGCAAGATCAATTCGCCGACTGGAGACTACGGAAGTTCAATCTCGTCGCGCTGGATCTGCGGGGACACGGGGATACAGCCGGGTGGTGGATGAGGACTACGATCTGTATGATGCGGTTGAGGATGTCGTCAAGGTCATGGTACGGCTTTCATTTTTTGACCGGTTGAAACTGGAAACCAACTCGACGGATGGCTGTTCAGAAAGCGTTGAGACTCCCTCCTTCCCATCTCGTCGGCGTGAATTTGGGGGCGTCGATTGGGCTCGAACTCGCGGCGACGCATCCACGGCTTGCTCTGTCGCTGACATGTATATCTCCTTCCTCATGGCGACTCAAGGTGTGCTGCGCTGGCTCGATCGCAGTTGAAATAAGACTGATGCGCTTCACAGAGAGACGATTTGGTTATTCAAGAGATAGAAGACATCTACGAATGCTTAGAAGGCGGCTTGTCAAAACGCAGGAACCAGTCGGCTCTGCAGCGCGCAGCTTGCGGCATGCTACAACTGGGGGTAAACGATCTCGAATCTCCGTTGCTGGACACGTGCGTAGTACTTGCCCCCTCGCCTGTGATAATCTGGAATGACTTTGTGCTCCTTTGCAGATTAGTGAACTTGAGCATAACGACGGCTGCGAACTCGTGGGCAGGGAGAGTCAAAGAGCTCTCCCGCGCTACTGTGCGTTTGTTCGCTAGTGGACGTCCGTGTCCTCGGTCGATGCTCCGAGGGATCAGGTGCCCAGTATCCCTCGTGCGCAGTGGAGCAGATGTAGGATATGTTCAAGAATCTGTGGACGAGACATACGAGACGTTGCAATCTCAGGGCACGCTGGTCAGGACGTATGACTTGCCTGATGCGCCCCAGTGGGCGCATCTCAGCCACCATCCCGAGTGCGTTTTGTCCTCCGTTTTTTTCATGGAAAGGTGCTAATCCAGTGGCTGTTTGGTAGAGTCAATCAACTGATACATGATATCGTCGTCGAATTCGCCGCCGGGAGGGTACCCGTCGGGAGCCTCTTGCAAAGCAAGCCGTTTCCGGTGGAATCTCCTTTTGAAGACGTGTTGTGTGGGGATCCAGATTCGGATTCGGACGACGAGGATTGCTCGGAGTGAGATGAAAAGCTTCATTGGTGAGCTGCGTGCATGAGTGGTGGAAGCCCAGACCATACTTTAATCCAGCGTCTCATAATCCTTACCCTATCGCAAACTAATATTCAAATACCATCGGATGGATGACACCGACCCTGTCCTGAGAAACAACTCGATTTTTCTGATGCGCCGATGCTCTCAATTGAGGCCAGTGCCTGGCCGATGTCCCAATTGTTCGTAGCTCGGTGGGTGAGTAAGCTTCTCTCCAGGGGCTTCTGCCTATCTGCACAAAACCCAAAACACTCATCATAGGGATGGTGCTATCTTCCCAAGCTCACTCATTTTACAAAATTGAAGACGGCCGGGGAAGGCCCTGAAGCGTAAAATCGTCAAGCAGATGATTGTTTCGATGATAATTTCCCACCCGACCTTGACCGTCCGGTTGTACGCTTCAACGGGATATCATCGTAGCTGGGCCTCGTTTGAGAAGGAAACAGGTTCATAAATAGTAGGTTCAGACGAGTCTCCTGCAAGTGTTCGGAGCCATCTACTAAAGGGTCTTTGAGTAGGGAAGAAAATGGTTAATCCGTCACGTGATTCTTTTGCTCTGGTTTGTGGCTGTATACGTTCTACCCCTAAGGTATGCCGCATGAGGATCCAGGGACCCTTAGTAAGCAGTGCGTGACAGTCACGTGACGTTCAAATTCACAGTCCGAAAAACGTAGCCCTTCTTTTCGGTGTCATTATGGACATGTATGCACCCAATGTGATCCAAAATGGGTGTCCGAAGGATAATTGAATTTCTTTACGGCTACTATGACTATAGAAGGGGATCTCAACGCCGGCAGCACCGCCACTTCCTAATTGGGACGTCACGTGAATGGTCAAATCTTCCGACCCAAAATTTAAAGATGCTCAGTTCAGTTGGAAATCACTTTCTACAATAAAAGAAAACTTTTGATGCAGAATTCTTGAACCTCACATCACGCTCTCCAGGAGGCAAAATAAAAAATTCTACTCACATAGCAGGTGTGCTAAAGGCCTCCAGAAACACCCCATGTGAGTACTTTAGCTATATTCCCTCCGTGGCCGTCGTCATCTTCCGTCGCTGTTTGTCACAGTGTGACGCTTACAAAGGGTCCCTGGATCCTAATGCGGCATACCTTATCACGTCTTCTGCCTTGATTGACTATGGACTGCGGCTTGTGTCGGGACCAGACAATGCTCGCGTCACAAGATACGAGCCTGAAACACTCATGGGCGAGGCACTCCTCGAACGGCCTGATATCGTTCGCAGTCATTTCAGAATTCAGTGTTTTTCTCGGATTCTATAAGTTTCGACCCCTTGGACTACGCTTCATCTCAACGATCAGCAACCCTCACTTTCTGTTTTACGTCTCGTGGCGATGCAGTTCCGCTGCGGTCAGAAGATTCTTATCAATGTTGTCCTCCCGGGGGCTTTATGATGCCACTGGTTTATGCACTTATAACGAAACTATCGGACTTGCAGCTACTCGGAGAAACTGACAACGAATCCTTCGATGCGAATCCCATTCTTTCCTGATTGTCGTGAAGCATTCATGCACAATCATGATCATCCATTGTTCGACGTCAAACGCGGTAGCCTGGCAGCGTCGGATGGCAGGGACAGAAGCGCATGGATGCGGACAAGGTACGGCCCGTGTTCCTTTGCTTCGTTCTGCTTCGAATCCTGCTCGCCGCTCTTTGCTTTCTCCTTTTTGGTCTATCTATTTCTTTCCGCCCTCACCCGCCGCGCGCGATGCAGGGTCGCTCTTTTCTTTCGTTTTCTGGATCGCTGGGTCGCCTACTGGTCTTGGGGGGCTTGGCTGCCGCTGCTGGAGCCAAAGTAGTACCAGTTCTACAGCCGGTGCGTCCCGTTTGCTGAGCTTCCGAATACCAAAAATCATGGCTGTTCATCTCGCAGGGATTCTTCTTCGACTACACCCCTCCCGGCCAGTCGCCGCTTATACCGATCACGCGTAAGTTCTGAGCTGAGATCGCCACTGGAATAGGGTGCTAAGAGGGCATCTAGAACAGTGTGAGACTATACATTTGAAGTGGGGACGAAGTGCGTTTCCTTCATAGACCCTCGTCCTCGACAGGCACTCATACATCCACCAGACGGTGCACCGGGGTAAACTAGCCGTCCGCAAGCCTTGATCTCAGCTGACCTAGAATGAAAGACCCAATCCGGTGGCACCTTACTCGATGGTGGTGTTTACCTCGTGGGTTGTGTCTTACGCCGGAAACCTCGATTTCAATCTGTGCGACAGGAAATCCATCACACCTTTCACAATCGACGCCGGGAACGGCTTGTCGTTTGTACGCTTGGCTCTCTGCTCTGGTCAGACATCTTTACTCAAGATATGTAGGACTGGCAGGTTCCATTTAGTCCGGGAACTCAGGTGCGTTCGATGGCTGCGGAGGGATAAAAATCCCCGCATCTGATGAGACTGCTCGGCTAAATTCTGGCAGTATCAGATCTGCATGGTGCGTTATCGTGCCGTGTTTCATGCTCAATTAATTATCAATGGCTCAAACCTCTCAAGTGGGACAGCAACGGGACACCCGGAGGTTGCGAAGCTATGTATACTGTCATTCAGAATTCCACGGTCGCAACGCCTCAGTAAGTTGATTTCTGGCGCGGAGTTTCTTAGATGATTGGGTGATTGCTGAGGTGCTCACCATAGATGCCACAATGTCACCTTTCCCACTCTTCTGCAGGTCGAAACACAGCAGACTGCTGCTCCAGGTGGTCCTATCTCTCAATTTGGATTCATTGATCAGGTTCGGCCAGAGAAACAGTCTCATCTTGCGCGAACTAAAAGTCAACTCCAGTGTACCGATATTCTTGTGACACCAAAATCTGGGAAACCGCCATTTACGTTTTCAGTAAATTGACGCTCTCACTCGGAGGTTGGCTGTTCTGATGTAATTGTAAGGTATATCCGCCTTTACATCCTGCTTTCAACATCACTTCCAACTCCATGGATACCATCGACTGGACGATCTCACTGGTGAATTTGATTATTAAAAGTCGATGTAGGAGATTGATGGTTTGCTCCCATAGCCCTGGTCTTATCCTTTCTTCATTTCTCTTTCGAGCGCTGATGGACAAATGTGGTCTAATGGACCTCTCCATGCCGGAGGATTCGGACCGACGGATTGCTGTGAGTGTTAATTTGCCTTAGATGTCTTCGTCTCATCTCCATCTAGTGGCTCCGAATACCATGTGAGATTGTTTTATCTTTTCGTGCGCAACCAATCTGACCTACACACCCTCAAGGCCGATTGGAAAAGCCCAATCGATTGCAGCTGCAGCCGGATTCGGCGGTGCCCTGGGAGCATTTGCCCTCGGGGGTGTCGTCGCCTTCCTCTATCTGCGCTACCGCCGTCTCCCGCCACCGCAGATCGACGCGTTTGTCCACGACTCGGTCACCTCCCGCAGCGATTTCAGCGGCGCGTCGCGGAACAGGTCGGACTCGCATACCACGATGAGCAGCCTCGGCGCTTCTTCGGATATCCGGCGTGGCCGGACGTATGTGCTGCACCACGACGCCGGCCGGGCACCCGTCACGGTGATCACCGACTCGGAGGAGGTCGTCGAGCTCCCGCCGAGATACCACAATGGGGTGGTTCCTGGTAGTAGAGGCTCGGATGTCGCGGGTGGGAGCGCAGACGGGTTACCGATGCGCGACAAACCCCATCCGCCCCTTCCCGTGACCCCCTCGACATCGGTCAACTCGGGTTCATTTTTGTCGGCTTCATATTTGGGACCGCCGTGACAGATTGCGGCAAGGCCTGAGGCCTTGGGTTGAAGAACATACTTTTATCTATTTGAGTAGACGAGTGAATTCACAGAAAGTCTGGGTCTGCTGCATACGTGAATTGGAATTCAAATTCGGTCTCCCTCTCCAGGTTCTGCATCCGCTCCAGCAACTCAGTCGACAAAGCCCCCAGACTTTCTGGCAGGTGAAATACCTTCAGATCAAAGTCGCCTGTGGTTTCGGCCTGTACAGGTCTCCGTACCCGGCCGAGAACGAGCTGCTCCAAGCTTTGTTCGGAAAAGACGATGTGGGATGTCAGACAGAGAAAAGTCAAGCGCGGCACGAGGTCTACCACCACCAACCCGACCAGAAGATCATCCGTGATGAAAAAGTCGTCCAGGTCGTCATTTCCCTCCGAGAGCAACAGATCCTCCAAAAGAGGCAAATTTTGGAGACATTCGAGCAGCTCATCAGCTGTGATCAGGACTCGGGAAACCTCCAGGAAACGCAGGCTGGATCCGAGCTTCGACCTGAAAATGAAAGGCAGGAGCGCATCACGATCCCACCATATCGCATACGCAGGGTCTTCGAAACGGCCTTTGACAGCAAGAGAACGGAGACCGGGGGATGTGAGAGCATGGAGCACGCGTTCCATGCAGCTGACACCGCCGGATATCACCAATGTCAGGCCCTGCAGCACATCGGATAAGACGTGATGCCCGAGCCGAGGAATTTCCCCGACATGGATGATATCCGGGACGTCAACCATCAAACACACGAACGGAATGGGCAGCCGTGTCAGGAAGGCAAGTGCGTCACTGGTCAGCTTTTTATAGTCCAATGTCCATTTGAAGAGTTTGAGCTGCGGCCATGGAACATCTGTAATACGGTCGCAGGGAGCCGTTGCATAGAACCGGGTGAGACTAGGGGCTGCGGCAAACAGGCTGCGGTACTCCGCGTCCCAATCTTGCTCCTCCCACTGGGTTGCGATCTCCAAAAACCGCAGCAGCGGAATATTGCCCTTGACAGGGAGAAGTAATCGGAAGGGATCGTAATCGCTGTAGACGTCAGTCCACAGTGTGAAATGCGTCCAGCGCCGGGAATGAGCTGTCAGCAGGTTCATCACATCAACGTCCACCAGGGTGTTCGACACAGCGATTTCAACGCGGATCGGGTGGTTACCGCTTTTCCGGACGAGGGCAGTAAGGGCCGCCGCTCAGCGCCCGGTCCCAGGCCACAGGGTGGTGTCCACGATCAGCACCCTCCATAAGGACGGTGTATTCAAGGTGAGAGTATGCCACAGCGAGCATACCTAGAATTCAAATCAGGATCTTTCGCGGCGCGTGGTGGAGCTGAAAGGCCGCACCTGGGAAAATTGTATCAAATAGTTCTTTGAGAGCCGCTCCTTCTCCTGCTCAGCTGTGGTTTCGTCTGAAAGGTCCTCGATGGGTGCGCATAAGTCGAATATCTCGGTCCAGATTTCAGTTGGAACGCGCTGGGGCGGAAAGAGAGAGATGTCGTGAGAGTTCATTGAGCGTGAGTGATATGCTTGAGTTAGATCTCAAGTGCAAGTCACCGAGCTTCACTACTGATGGTGGCCGCACAGCCACCTCACTTCTTTTCTACCTCCGATTCGCCTGGGCACCAAGTTTCATTCCACCTATTTGTTCGGCTGCACAGGGCAACAGCTTACTGCCCATTTCATATTCTGACAGTGAGTTTTACTGCTTCGAGTCCTGATTACATCTAACAACCTTCCACAGTCGCTATTCAATATTATACACGGCATAATCAACTACGAGTACTCGCGTCCTATCCTTAATAAACGTTTCGATAATGGTCAGCTCGGGCTCTTCACTCCAAAACTTAGTTAACGACTCCTATGTCCCCGGAATCTCCAGTCGACTCAATATACACGTGTCCCTGAAGACGAGCATGACGACTCGCAAATCCCGGAGTCACCCATCCGCAGTACACCCCGCGTTCTCCAGCCCGGCCTCACGCTGCATACGGACTCCAGCTACACATACAGCTACGGACCGCCCGGACTCGCAGGCCTCTGGGCAAACGGTTTCGTCCTTATATGCGCGGTGTTCGCGTCGATAGGCGGCATGAGCTTCGGGTACGACCAGGGCGTGGTGAGCAGCACAACCACCGTCTTCCCGCCAGTGCGCATGAATGTACGCGGGGACTCATGTGTGCCAGATAGCTAATGTCCTCGTGATGGATGATTTCGTGAGACGGTGGCCCGTAACCCCATTACAGAAGGGCGCGCTCAGTACGCACCAGACAGTCTTGCATGGCCTGTGGCTCATCCATCTACCTCATGTCAGCTGCGGTCTTGGAATTCGGGGCACTCGTGGGCGCGCTAGCATCAGGTGTATTGGCCGACAAGTACTCTCGGAGGCACTCCATCTTCGCGGCATGTGGTGCGTGTTCTCTTCGCGACCCACCATCAACCTTCCAATGATCAGATTCTAGTGGTTTTCACCATCGGGTCCCTGTTTCAATGCCTCGCTCAGACCATCGTGCACCTCTTCATCGGCCGCGCAGTCGGTGGCATCGGGGTCGGCGCTCTCAGCATGTTGTCCCCGTTATACATCTCCGAAATCAGCCCGCCCGAAGTCCGCGGCACGCTCATTGCCCTAGAGCAGTTTTCCATCGTGTTGGGTGTGGTCGTCGGGTTCTGGATTGGGTTCTTTACGCGGAACAGTGGGTGCTCAGCTCGTCATCCCAACGTCCGTTCGGCTAACTAGATCTTCCAAGTCCCTAGTTCGGCGTCATGGCGGATTCCCTTGGCCGTTCAGATCATCCCTGGCTTACTTCTCGCGTTTGGCGCCATCGTCCTTCTGCCTCCTTCTCCGAGGCTGCTCGTTCTCAAAGGCCGATATGAGGACGCGGAGGCTAGCTTGATCAAGCTACGTGGACGGGATGACGATTTGACCAGGGTGAGGGCACGCTCCGAGGATGTCACCCCCGTGCTGAATCTTCGCAGCTCGAGATGCTCGAAATGCGTGTCGAAGCGACATTGATCAACGAAGCAGACGGGAAGCACTCGAAGCGGAACGAGTTATCTTCCTGGGGTCGGCTGTTGAGCAAGAAGTACCGGGCAAGGACGTTGATCGGCGTGTTGATGATGGTCTTCCAGCAGTGGAGTGGCATCAATGCCCTCGTGTACTATGGGCCCACGCTCGTCAAGAGTTTCGGTCTCAAAGGCGACACGGTGGGGCTCATTGTGTCTGGCGGCATTGGAATCGTCCAGTTTCTTGCTGTGGGACCCGCTATAGTGTATATCGATCGACTGGGTGAGTGGGCGTCGAAGACGTGATCCCTGCGTGCTTACTTCTTGCAGGCCGGAAGCCTTTACTGCGAGGTGAAATGGCGCCATACTACCTCCACACATCGACTAACCGCATCATGTGCAGGTGGTAGTACTGTTATGACGCTCTCGCACCTGACCATCGCCCTCCTTGTGTACCAATTCCAGTCCGACTGGGCTTCTCACCCATCCGCGGCTTGGGTCGCCGTCGCTGGGGTCTACACATTCACGTTTGCTTACGGAGTGTCCTTTGGCCCGATCGGATGGGTGCTGCCGAGCGAGGTGTTTCCGCTGTCTGTCAGAGGCCGCGGTGTGGCGCTTTCCACGGCCTCAAATTGGATCAACAACTGTATGTATCCAATACGCTCTTCATTGTTTGAAATTGAGCGCATGCATGCATAGTCTTCATTGGCCTGGTGACGCCGGTGATGATGGACATCTCTCCCTCGTGGGTGTGCGCTGGTAAACGCCTGCTGCCCGCTCAATTGCGTGATATAGGGCCACATTCTTAACCTTTGCCTCGGCATGCTTCGCTGCGTATCTTTGGTCAACCTACGGAATACCTGAAACAGCCGGGGTTGCTTTGGAGGACATGGATCGGGTGTTTGGAACGGATGCTGGTCGCGAAGATGCTGCCAGGCGCAGGCAGGTGCGCGGCTGCGTTTGTCGTTTGCTCATGCTTCACTTCATTAACCATGCGGATAGCTTGAGGAGGAGCTTGGGCTGCGAGCTTTGCTCGCGGAGAGTGCCGCTTCGTAGGGCTTCGTACGTCTGTGGCTTTCTTTCGGTTTATCATATGTGCTTTCGGGACTCGGACCACCGATACTATCGCCTCGCATGGGCCGCTATCCTCCGTCTGCACTGCAAGAACGGCGTTCCTGGCAGCATCTCCATCCTAGCCGGAAATAGCTTTAATCTAAGTTTAGGCTAGAACTCGCCCGGCTAGAAGCCGTCCGAAGCTCTTCGGGTGACAGGTACCGGGCAGGATTCATAATATACATATGCTGTCCTCCGGGCTGCGTTCTTTCTCCCTTCCATCGGCTTCTTCTCACCGTCCAGACGCCCGTTTACTGCTCCTTCCTTCCAGCCATGTGTCGCAGCCTCCAGCTCTGGTACGGCCGCTCCGTTCTTTCACTCTCTTCACTGACCATCCTCGCTTTTCAGTTTTACTGCTCTTCTCGCCGCCTCGGTGGCCGCAGCCCTCAGTGTGCAAGCGCCAACCGCGGTCGCCTCAACTCAGATGACGAATATAACGTGGACCCCCGACCAGCCCTGCACCCCTTTCTCGGTTGAGCTCGTCCACAAAGCTTTCGTACGTAGCCAGGTTTCAATGCAACCTGTCTGACGTCGCCCAGCACGACACGTTTGCCATCGCCAACAACGTCAACTGCACCCTTGGCCAAATCTCTGTCGTGATCCCGGATGTTCCTTCAGCGTAAGGAGTCTCGATAGTGCCTCTCTCCCTCTCTGAATTGTGCGCCGCAGATCAGACTATAGTCTCGAGTTCGTCAATGTCACGGACATCAATGATGTCTTCGCGACCAGCCCTGGCTTCTCGATAGCCCCGGCACCCAGCACCTCAAGTGCTCCCCAATCGAGCACTGCTTCTGTGCAGAGTGATAGCGGGCTGGCTGGAAGTGCTACCTCGTGCGTCTCCAGTGCTCGCTCTATATCGTCTAGCGTGTCTAACGAGGCCCCCACAGAACGACGCCGGCGAACGCGACTCCCTCGTCCCCAGCAGCAAGTGCTGCTTCCGTATCGGGATCGGTGGCCTCAGTGGCGAGTTCCGCTGCTTCCAGTGCGGCCAGCGCAGCTTCGTCAAATGCTGCAGTCGGTCGTGCACCAGGCACTGCAGGAGCAGCGCTCGCTGTTTCTGTGGGACTTCTCGCTGGCCTTTGGGTGTAGGGCGCATGACTGTTCTATGAAGCTACTGCTCCGACGTTGGACATGACTCGTTACTCTACTTCCCCATAGTGTGGTATGCAGTCCTCCACACACATTTATGTGATATTTTCCTGGCGTGCACGCACGTGTGTCGTGTTGCTGACAATGGCAGTGCCAATGCTCTCCATTTCACAAGAGGAACCCGCTTTTGGCTGTCAACGTTGGATAAACTAGATTAGAGTCCCCCTTCCTTTCATTCCACTCCGACCGCCCGCTACGACAACGTAGAGAGTTGTATAAGACCGAGGGATGCTGACTGAAACGACACCCCTCCTCCCGTCCCTCGCCACGGCCGTCTCCGTCGTCCGCGAGCGTAAGGCTCGTTTCGAATGGCTCGCACCGCTGCTCCTCATTACCGGTCTCGCGCGCGGCATGTCGATGTATGCACGATTCGAGGGGTACCAGCACTCGATATGCCCCGGTGCGCATCAAATGCCTACTCCCCGCCATCAGCTCATGTAACATCACTTGCAGCCGAACCGCCATGGTCGCCCTGCGGCTCTTTCACGACATGGCTGGCGCTGCCCACCACATTCACGTACTCGCATGCTAACGCTGAGTATCTGCGCGTTTACTTCGACCTCTGGGCGTCGTTCGCGTCGTTCGTCGTGTCGTTCCTGACGATCGGGTTTTGGAGCGGGCTCGGTGACAAGCGGGGGAGGCGGATTCCGCTTCTTGGGGCCCTGTGTGGGCTGGTTCTTGGGTGCGTGCTTCTCGCTGTGAATGGTGCTGTACAAAGTCTGAAGATTATTCCTGTTCAGGGACCTCGTGCACATTCTTCTTTCCTGGATACACATTGCACCCACTGATGCGGGTGACATAATGTCTGTGGGGATCATGCTCGAGGGTGCGGTGGGCGGTGGATATCTGGGATACTTTGCTGCAGCGCGTGCGTGAGTCGTCGACCGCTCCTGATTGTAGGCTTTTATTTCTGATCTGGGTCGCAGATACGCCTTCGATGTCGCTGAAACACCCATATCTCGTGTGACGCTTTTCGGGCTGAACGATGCGCTGGGGCTGGCCGGGTTCTTCTTCGGCGCCATTCTCGGACATCTCGCAGGCTGGCGGATTGCCTACATCATCTCTGCCTCTCTAGGGCTCGTCTCGCTCGCTTACGCGTTCTTGGTGCTCCCAGAATCGCTCCCCGTCTCGAGCTCCCCCGCTTCCTCGTCACTTCCCGTTGCCGGCACAGCGATGCCACGCCGTCGTCGGCGTGCTTCTCCACTTATATCCATTGTACGGCCGATTACGACGTTCTTAGGAAATGGGGTCACCAAGATGTATCTGCCGACGTTCGGCCTCGCGTTTCTGCTGTATTCTTTCTCTGCGGGTGGAATGGATAGCGGGCTCGTTGGATATACCACGTTCCTGCATTCTCTTCCGGTGTGTGACGCAACCCGTTCTTCTAAATCCTCACAATGAAGCTCTGCAGACTTGGCTGGTCCTCCTTACACCCCACGTTGTGTCTCTACTCGCGCTGCTCATCCTTCTGCCCCTTGCAGCGCACGTGTACACTCTCAAGTACCGGACGTCGTACCAGTCGTCGGAACTGCTGTCGGTCTCGTTCCTGCGCATCCTGACGCAGAACGCCATCTTCATCGACCTTATCTCGGCGCTGGGGATCGTCGTGTTCTGTCTCCCGGACCACGCACACGCTTTGTACGACCTCCTCGCTGTCTTCCACCCACTGTCTGTGATTGCGCGCCCGGGTATCTGGGCGCTGGGTGCCGGGTATCTCGTCTCGCTGGGCAAGGAGCTGGAGGTGGGCCGGTTCTTTGGCGCGCTGAGCGTCTGGAGCGGTTTTGCTGAAGTAGTATCGGTGCGCTACCTCTGCTTCTATCTGCGCGTCTTTCAAGGTTAATTGTGTTGTCGCTTCTCAAACAGCACTTCTTTTATGGACCCGGGAGCGAGATATTTTGGTTCTCCACGTTCCTCCTCGTGACCAGTCTCATGACGCTGCTGCTGTCGAAGTCAATTCCAGGAGAGGATGAGGATGGTCCTTGGGATGATTAGATCTATGATGGACTGCAGATATTTATGCGTGCGACCAGTTCAACTTCACACAGGCTCAGGATGATACAATCCGGTTTTCTTCATTGTTCATTCATGTTTCTAAACGGAGCTCACGATTGTAATGATTAACGCCACACCGGACCATTTTCAAACATGAGGGTTGCTCGTCTGGCCGCATCTGGCCACCAGTGGACAGTGCACACTCCTCGGGGTTGAATATCATCATGTGAGATATGTTCAACTTTGCCCCATCCCGATAAGTCCCTGGATCTTTTTCACGCATACGAAAAGATAGGCGCTCTACAAGTTCTTTCAGAGAGAGATCTGGTATGAGCTGCTTTCCCACAGTGTCATGTGAAGCGGTGAACGGAAACCAATTGCTCGAGCGGATAAAATCCGGCATGCTGATTGTTCGGGGAATAGAATTAATGTTGAGCAGTGGCGTTGTTATGTCTGCGTCGATTAGTGGCTAAATCACTTCGTTGTGGTGTAATAGCTCCGAAGAGCCGGGTGTTCGATCCACCCCGCGGACAGTTTTTGTCTGACAGACCAAAGCTGCTATCATGCATCGGTCCTTTTCTCCTTTCCATGAGCACTCTTGGTCCCCAGTCAATAATCTCCCACTGTTGCAAAGATAAGTCAACATACTCTCTCCCCCGTTCCTTGATCACAAGACCAAGATCCGGACATTTACTATAATACATTACAAATGTCTTCATTGTCTTTAGGCGCTGCCATTACTGTGCATCTTGTCCTTGAGCTTCTGCATCAGTCCACTCTTCGTTCGCTTTCTGCCCACATCTGCTGCATCACCACCCTGGATGGTGTACACCTGTTCCTCAGACTCCTCGTTTCCTAACCCCTCGACAGCGGAAACCGGCACATTGTCCTCAACATCAGACTGCAGCCCCGAACTCGGCGTGGTGGGAAAGTCGCCGGTAGGGAAGTTGTCTTGCGGTCTCGACGAGTTCAACGCAGCCGCGCCCAGACCTGCGTTGGCCTTCGGTGATTCGACAGGCAAGTTGTCTTGGAGCCGAGACGAGTTAAGCGCAGCGCTCCCCTGAACAGTGAATGCGCTTCCGGCCTCGTCAACATCGTGATGGTCGCCGATGGGATAAATGTCCTGCGGACGGGACGAGTTCAGCGAGGCGCTGCCTTGTATAGCGACAGGTGCTCCGGGAAACGACGAGATTGGACCCGTCGGTGTCGGCGGCGTCTCGGAGCTCAAGGTGCTGAAAGAGTCGAGGGATGGTGGGGGACCGGATGCCGCAGACGACATGGATGCAGCGTAGCCGCTCTCTACGTCGGTAGGCAACTGCGGACGCACGGGTAGCGAGTCTGCGGGCAGACGGGGGATCGAGTTGACGCTACCCTGAGGAGATTCAACGAAGCGCGACTCGCCGGCGCCGGGGAAGGAAGGGATGAGACCTGGGGTGGGTTTGGGCCGAGAGTCGTCTGCAGTGGCACTACTGCCGTCGGTGGAGGTGGTATGACCGGTGTGCACAAGAATGCTATCTTGTCGTGAATCGGCAGTCAATGAACCGGTAGACTGAGGGAGCGGTGGGAGAGAGGGAGATTCAGGATCTGAAGACGTCGCTGGATGAAGGAACTGCTCAGAACGTAGAACCCTCGAGGCCATGACCAGAAAGACTCACGCAGGTACGCAGCAACGCCCGGAGGGAGATATGCCCTTGCAGCAGCCAGCGCCTGACCCGGAAGAGTTTCAAGGATGGAAGCCTGCTGCGTCCCATCCGCGCTCCGAGTAGGTGGAGAGGGGCTGCGCTCGCTCTCAGAAACGTACGGGAATGAGCCAGGGACAGGTGGTGTGCCGGGGGTGCGCGTGCGATGCGATGCAAGGACGCCAGAAACGTCCTGTGCCCATTCATGCGTCGGAGTAGGCAAAGCAGCCATTGAGATCTGAGGTGCCATGCGCGGTTTCGCTTGATTGGTGCTCATGACTGCGATCTACGGGAGAGAGATTGTGGTAATGGAGATTGCTTCACGCCATTTATATGCATTACGTTTCAGGTGCTGAGGATGGATGACGCGCTGGAGCACAGACATGACGTTCATTTGGAGTCGTGGGTGCCAAGGGAGGCATGGGAAGCAATGACTCAGCGAATGATTGTTAATCAAAGAATCGTCTCAACCGCTGTTCGTGGCTATGTCTGAATCCCCACAAGAAGGCGACCGCCTCAGCAGCATGGCGCAGTCTGGGAGCGCGCGGGGCCCATAATTTCGAGGTCACTCGATCGAAACGAGTTGCTGCTAGGTATTCATGAACAACTCTGCGTGAGAGTGCTTCCATATCTTTTGATCGTCAATAGTCACGAGTCTCTCTCCAACACTGGTCAAGGTCAAGTCTTGTGAGTGGCAATGCAAATGCAGCCTTCGTTCTCGGTAGTATCTAATTGGTATACCGGTCAGCTACGACGACAGTTACCCTGATCTACACACTTCAGGCTCAAATAACTCGAGTGGGGAAGCGTCAAGTTTCGGATCCTGCCGAATTGATACTGACTCAGACATCTGAGAAACGACCTCATGGACCTCCAAGATTGCGCGCTTTTCTGTGCTAGTGGCAAGTTCCGGTGACAGCTGACGAGTTGTTTTCCCAAAATACCGGAGATGCTCAAGAGCGTACTAGCTGCTTACGGAAGATAGATGTTGAATTTATCATGAATCTCCAGTCGCCTATGAACGATCACGAGAGTTCAGACCACCATATCAGTGTTAGCATTAGAAGAAATGTAGGTCGAAGTTCCGTCGAACTTTCAAGCACATGGGTGTCGGAAACCTCAGAGTTTTGAATGTCCGGCGGGGAATTCTAAGTATCTGACGCCTGAGCTATTCACGCCAAGCGATGCGACCCTCGCTCGGCAAACCTGACTAGTGGCGGCAATCGGACGACAATCATGTTTTCCCCATGGAATAATAATCAGGAGACCACTGGTCATCGGAGTGATTTTTCGGAGGTCGGAAAGATTCTGCCTTGTGCCTGTGGCTGCTGGGGCGGACGATACAGGAACAACATGTATGTAATATGGACTATGGACTATGGTCCGATCTTCTTTCTCTCTACGCCAAGCTTTCGGTCGCTCGAATGAGATCTGCCACGGCCATGGATCGAGGCCGAATTGAACACGTGAAGGGAACGGGGCCACTGAAGTCAACCCATTAGCACCGAACTCGAGTGGCCGTTGGAACTGACTACTAACCTCATGAAATGGGGGATATCTTCGAACGTAGGCTCTATCTCTTGGCCGTCCTCATCCAGCGCCTTAGTTATGTCGAATGCAGAAAGGATTGAGGCGATGGTGATCCAAACGGATGACATGGCCATGAATCTCCCAGGGCAGATTCTCCGGCCGAACCCGAATCCGGCAAGGTAGAGGGGCGCGGTCTTGTCACTCGGCTCCAGATCCAGGAAGCGCTCGGGATTGAAGTCAAATGGACGGGGGAACAGTTTCTAGATAGAGGAGATTAACTACTTGAAGGACCACGGATGGACATCTACCTCGTCATGTACGATCGCCCTTGGCGCACAGGGATTGGGATCAGGGTCAAAACGACTGCCGGGAAGAGCTCACCAAGTATTCGCCATCACAATCGAGCCAGCGGGGATCCTCCACCCTCTATACTCGTCTTCCACGGTCGAAAGGTGAGGGAGGTTCACCGGGAACACGTTCTTCCACCGGAACACCTCTTTCATTAACGCTGTGGTATACGGGAGCCGGGCCTGGTCTGCGAACGTGGGCAGACGCTCCTCTCCAGCCAGCAGGGCATCGATCTCTGCCTGCGCGATCTTCTGTGCTTCGGGGTTGGCAAGCATCGCAAGGATGAAAGTGTTCACTGCGCCGGCGATGGTGTCTGAGCCCGCAATAAAGAGCGTCGCGGCGGCGCCCTTGACGGTCTCCTCATCGAAGTATCTGTCCTCTTGGGCGGTGAGTTGGAGCTCATCAAGACTGTCGACAGAGAAGGATGATGACGCAGTCCCGGCGTTCTTGTCACCGTCAGTTTCAGCACTGGTGCGTGGAAGGTGGACTCACCATTCGACGCCGTACTTCTGCAATCGGAATGTCCAACGCTCTGCGTCCGATCGCTTTCCATTCCCTAGCCTTCCGCTGGAAACCAGCCCCTGGAAACCATTCTGGAACGTATTTCAGCAACGAGATGTAGTCCTGGAAGTTCGTCGCATCATGTTGATAAACAGAGGGTAGAGCGACCCACCACCCAAAAGGCCCCCTGAGTCATAGCCTCTCCGCCCACTGACAGAGCCTGGACTCCCAGTTCAATGTATGGATCATCCTCGGGAAGCACGTCGATGCCATAGGCGACGGAGATGATGACTGCAGCCGCTATACTGTCAGAATCATGAAAACAAGACCGCATGTAAAGTCAGGTGTAAGACTCACTGCTTGATGTGCAGCATAAAATTGTTCGGGTCGACCAACAGTCGGCGCAAGAGTCCATGAGCAGCCTTGATTTCCGCACCCTCGAGCCTTGGAGATACTTTAGAATTGAAGCCCTCAGTGATAAGCCGTCGCTGGGCCCGCCTAGGGGAATGGTGGTAAGCTTCAAGAGGATGAGGAGATACCGCACGCGCCATTGGTCTCCTGTTCGACAGACATCCCGGAATCAGAAGACGAAGAACCGGGCTAGGTGAAACTCGCTCTCACCGTACGGCATAGCACCTGACGGATAACAAAATGATCAGATGAATTGAGTGAGATGAGATCTATGTGTCTCACCGAGATTGAAGGTGAATGCCATGAGCTCGGACAGCATTGTTAGCTTGGGTCTGGAGGGACGCAATTGGTCGTGAAGCCGTGCTACGGCACAGTCGCTCACCGATCGGAATAATTATGCGATCGCTTCTCGAGCAAGTCTTCGACGGCCTCAACAGATGACAGGACAATCAGCGGAGTCCCTGCCATATCAAGGTGTATGACATCCGAGCCTGAGTCAATGAGTGGGGATTTCGGGCATCAAGATGGTCAAATGCCCTACCGAGTTCCTGGCTCAGTGCCTGCAGTCTCGCCCACTGACGACGAGCATCCAAGTCAAAGAGGTTGCCTACGAGAGGAAGCGGTCGCGGACCCGGGGGAAGGGGGAGGTTCGACCTGGTGGTGCGCAGCCAGCGAGTAAAGTAGACACCAAGCGATACCGCACCGGCGGCCCAGGCTAGAGTAGAAATTGAAGTAGACCCCATAAGCTCAGACGACGAGATATCTAGAGATTTACCGTCATCCTTCTTATATGTGGTGGAGGAAGGCACTAAAAAAAGACACACTGTCACACACACCCTATTCGCCCAAGGGTCTCGCATGCCAGAAATCCGGATTGAGGACGGTCCGGTGACAACACCAAGCGCAGGGTCTCTGATTACCTGGCGCCAAAGACTCACATTTCCAACATGTTATCCGGCAGCAGTGGTGTCCCGTTCGTCCGGCAGGAATAGTCACATAGCGTGACATGCGTGACTGTAAACCAGGCAAGTGGCGCATGTATTTGGATGTCCGATCCTGATGCGTACGGGATCCAATCCAAAATTGGCTCCATGTCCGATCCGGATGCGGACGATATTGGGCTCATCAGACGCTGATGTCCGATCTGGCATGCAGACACAATATCCCGGTGTCGGTCCGTCCAGCTTTGACTCCTCTTTGGACTCAGATCCTGGTAAAAGTGTCCAGCCCTGACGCGAGCCCTGTGTAGGATGACCAGAGTCTTGTAGCTCGGGCAGGACAATTTCGATTTTGGAAACAAGTGTATTCGCTTCGCGGACAAATTAGCCCTGCAAGCCTGAACCTCTACTGTAGCCCTGAACTCATCTCTGAACCTATTGAGGTGTTCTTCATGGTGATTGTTTGTTTTGGGCGTGAAATAATAGTTCGAATAACAGTAGCTCAATAATAAAATCTGCAGACTGGTGTGGTTACCGACACGAAGATGATGAAGTCCTCATTGTGTGTATAAATATTGTTCAACGCCGCAGTCCCCCATTATGTGGACAGATAACTTCTGTGCGCCAGGACAAGTATGCCTCCTGGTCGCCTTGCGTGCGGTGCCGTTTACATCAATTCTGCGGCAACCCTGGATGTGAGTGCATCAGTGCCCCCTCAAATTTCAAAAGAGCGACATTTGCTCACCAACTAACTCAAGCTCTCGGTCGAGCTCGATATCTGGCTCGTCTATGGCGATGTGCTCCTCAAGAGATTGCGACGGGACGGTAAATCCCGATGTCGCTCCACCGAACGGCCCGTGCTCTTTCACTGGAGAAGCGAGGATCTCATCACGGGACGGGATCGCCAGCCTGGAAAGACCGATCGAATGAGTCAAATCCAGCCATCCTCACGCAAGGCAAACTCACACATCCAGTTTGCGATTCTCGTTCTGTGGAGCAGCCTGCGCACGTACTTCCTTGCGGAACTTTTGCACCGCATCAACAATGAGCTTCTTCATCTTGGCCGGGTCGTCCTCGTTCTCGAATGCGAAGTCACACGGCTGCAGAAGAGGGTCCAGAATTAGCACCGGGCCTTGCCGAGAATCGGAACAGACCGCACAACATCGCATGCCGGTTCGTCCCGCGGATCGCGCCACTGGCCAAAATACGGGTGTTCAAGGGCCGCAGCGCAGGTGATACGCTGGGAGGGGTCGAATGTAAGCATCTTGCTGAGCAGATCCAATGCCAGCGGGTTGGCGCGTGGAAATATCGTGGCAAACGGAATGCGTGGTTTGATGGGCAAGGCGCGCATGTAATCTTGGGCCTGGGAGGATTCGTGTTTGGGATGAATGACAAGCAAGATAATCAGAGCACGAACGCGCGGGGAACCGACACGGCGGAGAGTCTCCTCGGTCGGGGTCCCGAGGAGGTTCAAGATCTGGTTCAACTGGTCGACGTAGCTGATGTCGTGTGTGAATCAAAGTCCAGCGTAACACTGTAAACACTCACTCTTTGCCCTTGAACAGAGGTTTCCCCCCGATCAGTTCCGCTAATATACATCCGACAGACCATATATCAATGGCCGTGGTCTCAGAAACAAAGCACGAGTGAATCCAGGCAGCGCATTCGATTTATAAACCGACTCACGTAATTCGCGAAGCTGAGCATGATCTCCGGCGCCCGATACCACCTCGTAGCCACATACTCCGTCATGAATCCCTGTGGCCCGCCGGCCTTCGATGCACCGACTCCCGGCGAGTAGCCCCTGGCGAGCCCAAAATCACAGATCTTGAGCTCGCAATCGGAATTCACGAGCAGATTCCCCGGCTTCAGATCCCGGTGCAGGACATTCGCGGAGTGGATGAACTTGAGCCCGCAGAGGGTCTGATAGACGAACGACTGGAAGTGTGCATCGGTGAGCGACTGGCCGGACCTGATCTGCAACGCGTAGAAGGAGATGATCAGGGATCGTTCTGATCTGTTACGGAGCAGGAAGCGTAGTTACAATGGCATGCAGATCAGCTTCCATGAGTTCTTCCTGGGCGCAGAATCATATATCAGTAAGATTCAGATGAGATTGACCCGCGTCCCGCGACTTACGTAGAGGTACACCTCGTCAAAGTCGCCGTCGGGCCCGGGCACGATGTCCATGTCGTAGATGCATGTAATCTACTGCACAGTCAGCCGTGTGTGACTCCCCGGTCGCGGGGACGAACGTTTTTGTGCCCGCGAAAATGATATAAGAGTCTGCCAGGGATCCGAAGTGAGATCAATCTCGGGGAACGCCAATGCTGGTCTCAAGCGACGGACCGAATCTCCCTCAAACACCGCTTGGTCAGAATCCGCTGTAGACACGTCCATAAGGCATTTCAGGAGTGTGAAGACCATGCCTGACCTTGCTGTTGATTTTTGTGATCTTCTTGATCGCACACCCAGCGCCCGAGGAGCGATGTCTGGCCGCAATGACACAGCCGTAGGCGCCCTGCCCGAGCTCCTTGATAAAGTCGTACTCGGGATCGACAACGAACGTTGTCTTGAGTGCGCTAAAAGTCTTATGGGCGACTGGCATGGTGAGACCAGCGGGAGAACGAGGCGGTCCAGGGATATGACAGAGCGCAGAGACAAGACGAATACACGTTGGACGTGCTGACAGAGCTGGCAGTTGATCAGTGCGTCGCGGAGGGCTTAAGTAGAAGTGGAGAATCGAAAGACAGGCGGGAACCAAAACGATAATCAGATCATCAATTCGCTACTTACGGGATCGGCTCTAGAAAGTGTCCAACTGGTGCATAGCCCGGGTCCCTGCATCTTCTGTCAGTCGCCGCTCCCAGATTGCCCGGACGTCGGTGCTTCTCACGTGCGGGATATCGAGTTACGGGCATTGCCGTTCTCATGCTTTGGCTCTGAAAGGACGGCAAGGACTTCGTAGAAGTTTCCGAGTCACGGTCAATCTTCCACACAGTCGTCTGGGAGCGCATGGGCATTCTGGGAACCGGCGGAAAGCTGGCAGCTAGGGTGATCATCATGTGTACCCACCGAGGTTGTGGCGAGCAAGAAAAAGTTGGGATCCCGAAACGCGTTTCAAGCCTGCCTCGTTCAAGATCTTTGGTTGATGGAAAATCTACACTGCCACTCTCGGAGGAATTATTCACATGACGCAATCCATGATTCATGGTTTTGAAGAATCTAATCTTATCAGCATCTACATGTGACCTCGGATACGCTCGGGCTTGTATATACTTTCATGGGGATTAGGACTATTTCGCCGTTGAATTTGCTCAGATGGTCAGGCACGATGACCCGCGAAACTTCCACAATTTATGTGTGAACGTTTGACATCCACTGTCCTTCGTTGTTTCTGCCAAGCAACTGACTCAATCTGCCATCCGGGAAATGCTGCTGACAAGGCCAGGGTGTGACACTCAGTTCGTCTATGTCCTGGACTAGAAGGGTTGACCTGAGGTGGGGAAGGCCTTCCCTGACCGAATCCATGGAGGCAGTCGCACACCCTCGTCAATTCTCTGAAGAATCCACCCAGACTTGGCAACGGCCATCAATGCTGTCGTTTGATCATCGGTAACCAAAGTAAAACTCTCACTGACGGCTTGCTGACGGCTGCCGCCCTCTCTTCCCTCCGCCATCCTCCACTTCGATTCGAGTCGCGCCGGACGCGCCGCAGGCTGCCTTATATCTTTCTTTTTGGATACCCTTGTCCTTGTCCTTCTCGTCCCTCCTTCGGTGTCTCCACTTTCAATACTCTATTTCGACCTCTCTCCGAATCGATTTCGCGAGGCAGATGCGCTCCTTCACTCTGACGACCCTGACGCTGGCACTCTTCGCCCTGGGCGATGCGCGGCCGCTGCGGCGTGCTATCGATGCGAGCGTGCGGTGCGCAGCGACCGATCAGACGGGGTCCGCGCTCACCGCGTCCTCGACCACGACAGACTCGTCGGGGAATGAGTTCTCCGTGTGCACGTACAAGAGCGCGGGGCCGTGTACCTTTTTCTTCGCGGTACGTCTGGTCATGTCCTCTCTGAGGAGAGCGTAGCCGAAGGCTGATCGTTGTCTTCGTTTCGACTACAGGATGGATCCTTCTCGTCTGGGTCTAGTGACTGTCCGAAGGGCCAGGCGCAGACGGCTGGGGCCGGAACTGGAGGGGGAGGAGGAGCAACATCTGCAGGATCGTCGTCTTCGTCGTCAAAGCCTCAGGGCACACTCGAGTGAGTCCTGCATTGGTTGTGAGGATCTATCGACAGTCATCTCATCATATCCATCCCAGTCCGAATGTCAAGTGCCCGGCGAAGGACAAGCAGGGCTCCTCGGTGACTTCGTCTTCGCAGGGAAGCGAGAATGGCAACGCGCTGGTGACATGCACGTACGCGGTTGCGGGCCCGTGCACCTTCTTCACGGATGGATCCTTCTCTTCTGGTGGCAGTGATTGCCCAGCCGGACAGTCACAAGGCAGTTCGCAGCAGACGTGAGTCTGCTTCAGTGATCCGGATGCACGCAACTGAATTGATGGACAACAGGACGACAACCTCTGCACCTCCTCCTCCTCCGAAGACAACAGCCGCTCCGCCGCCGCCTCCGAAGACGACAGTTGCGCCTCCTCCCCCGCCACCGCAGACGACTACTTCTACACCACCGCCTCCTCCCCCGCCGGCGACTACCAGCACACCGCCACCCCCGCCGCCAACAACCACGAGCACACCCCCGCCGCCTCCGCCGTCAACTTCGACATCGACCACCACATCGACGACGACACCTCCGGTCACGACCCCCAGCGACACGCCGACTGTGGCACCCGTTGTCACCAGCACATCTGCTGCCGCCGCCGCGCCGCCGGTCGACCCGAGCCCCGTCGACTCGACAACGTCGTTCACGACCGTCTTCGTCACCCCGACCGACACCTCGACCAACACCGCGGGTGCGCCGGTTACGACGGACGTCGCGAATGCCGGTGCGCCGGCCGGTGGACTCGGCCAGACTGGCGCTGCTGCGCCTGGACTGCGGGCAGGTGCTTCATCGCTCGTGCTGGCCGCTGGCGTTGGACTCGCAGTCCTTTTGCTTTGAAGAAAGTTGGACACACCACATGGACTATGGACTTGGGTTTACTTTGTTTCATTATTTGTAGTTAACTTTTTATTGTGTCTGTTCGCTGTTGATTAGCACTGGTATTGCATGGGTGAGACCGAACTTGCCATCTGACAACTACGAGACCTCACCACGTCGATATAGCTCCTGGAGGCGGAGAAAGCCAGATCGCAGTGACCTGGTCCATCCGTGCGCGGGCCCATACGATTTGTTCTCTTCCTCTTCTGAAAAGGGCTCCAGCTCGGGCGAGTACTATCAAAGCCTCTGAAGCTCTCTTTCAAGGTGAACACTGAAAACGGTCGAAGATAGTTACTGAGCGGCGGCGGTACATATTAAGCGGTAATCTTATCTTCCATCCCCGCTCCAAGTCTTGGCTGATCGGAAGTTTTTAGGACCTCAGAGGCAAGTGTTACGGGATGCGCAGGCAGTTTTATTGAAGGAGATCGTGAGGTAGTACATGGATACATTGTTTGTTGACAGGCGCTCTCAGCTCTGCATTTCTTCGTCATCCCGCCCATTCAGACCTATCAGTTTGCTTTTGACTTTGCGCTTCGCCCGCTTAACCGTCGAAAGCTGTCCAATTTGCTCATCAGACGAGTAGTCGTCCTCCTCTGCATCGACAGCGACATCATTATACGCAGGCCCCTCCGCCCTCCCTTCCGCTCTGTCCTCGTCCAGCTTCGCTTGGCTCTCCTCATTGAGCAGCACACCCCATGCTGGGCTTCGCCTCCCGCGAGCGGGTGCGTGCGCGGCTCGAGGTTGATCTGCGGTGGCACCCCTAGCGGCGCGCCCTCGTATGAGTCGAGCGGAACAAAAGAGTCACGATCGGTCTCCATCGGCGTGCCGGGGGGCGACTGCCACGTACGCGGCGGCGAGCCCGCGATCGAGTCGGGCGCGTGGTCCGACCCGGCTTCGGCGCGCGTGCTGAGCTCCGTGGAGCACGATACGACGCTTGAAGTTTCGTCACGGTCGTCGATGGAGTCGTGTCTGCTGCTGCTGCGCGAGGACCGGTTCGCGTTGGTCAGTGCGGCTTTACCTGTGTTGTGCGGTGAGCATATATTCACATCCGTGTACACACCAGGTGAGGTTAGGGTGCGGGAGAAAGGACTACGCACGAAGGCCTAAGAATGACAGGGGTTGTGTGATGTAGTCCGTCAGGCCAGAAGTAGATCCCTCCTCTCCAGAGGTCATCGGGCCGTCCTGAGCCAAAGACTTCGAGGCTGATATGCGCGGAGTCGGTTCGTCGGTGGTGGTCATGGGGAAGATGTCTTGGGGTAGGGACTAATTGTGACAGGATCGTGCTAGCGAGTGTTGATCGATGACGTAATTGTGCATAGCCACCTACTCGAACTTCACCGACAACGCCAATCCCGCTGAGTATAACACGATGTACGAACGGTTCTGCGTGCGAGATTCTGATGATATTCATTTTACACATCTGAAAATAGCTTATCGGGCGCCCGAGTAGCTGAAGCACTCGGGCACCACGCTGTTTTAAGCAAGCATCACAGTGAGTGATGATCTACTGATACCTGAGATAAGCCTACTGAGAGCAGATCTCTCCACAGAGCCACCATTTGACCTACGGAAGCGATTCTCACAAAACACCGGTCTTTGCCTGAGAGCGTGCCGTTGCCTCAGTACCATTCTGAGATAAGTGCGCTCAAAGACGACACGGTTATGTTGGGTCTGATGTTTTCGGTTTTTGATCCCGTTTCAAGCTAGGGCGGGGCTTTACAGACACAAGATGATTCGAGCCTCTGTTCTGACAGATCTGAACAAACTACGCTGTGGTTTCCTACAACTCGCTCCATTTCCGAAGATTTGTGTGAATGTGTATCGAGTTCTAAAACGCACTCGGAACGACCAATGAAGTTTCCTCAAGGAGTTCGTAACGCTCAAAACGGGATATAAATATTGACAGTCATGAAAATAATATTTAAATGTCAACTATATCCACCCAGAGGACGGCCAATCAACCCATTTGAGGCTGATGATCTGCCACCAGAAGCCCAAGGGTAGTTGGTAGTCGTGCGTCTCAGACCTATTCCTGGTCGAGGATTTTGAGCGTTGAGGCACAGGCTGCATACACGCTGTCAGCAATGGGCTGCCGATCGAAATGAGTGATGAAGAAAATGTCGAATGAGTGTCCCAGACGAAAGCAGCACGTTTCGCCGACCGCACCTTGATATGTCAATGGATCTCGAGTTGCGGCGAGATGGGCGTTTCAGTCTCGTTTCCTGCCATTTCTGCTATTGAATATTGAAAATGTAGCCTTGAACGAGGAAGCGACCAAGGTGCCCACCTCGGTTTGTGCGGAACGGCGCTGTGAGTGCTATCCAACAAATTAAATATCGTCACGAAAGAATCCAGTTGACACACCCTTCAGTAAGATTCTGACCGAAGCAGTTTCCCATATTGTGGTGGTTGTCAGAAGTGCGGGAAGAGCTTTCAGGACTTTTAATAGGATTCCGAAAACGTTGCCCTTTATACCGGCTCGCGTGAACAGCGTGGTTGGTGCTGTGCAGATCCCAGAGCGAAAGAGAACAGTTCTGGACGGGAACACGTTGTGAAAAGTGTGGTGCATGCACGGCCTTACCAGACTTACCAGATAGGCTTGGTTGAAGTTTCTCAGCTTGGTAGCTCATCGAGTTTTCGACGTTTTCGGCCGTCCGCCGGTGAATCATCGGATCATCGGACCATCGGAACATTGATTTGATCGTCTGTGACGAAGTACTGCCGATCTTGTGACGGAACAGACGCATTGTAAATGATGCAACGTCAGTTCCTCGTTTCGACGCCGAAGCCGTGAACGAACCGAACGACTGCGAGGCGCGAGAATTCGAGAATCAGGGACAACATGGAAAATCCGAGCTGTCGGCAGAGACCGCCTGTGCAGCACGCGAGGCTCTCAGAGCAATCCTGCGCTAACAAGCGCGGGAGTCGCGAGCATGACCACAGAGTCGGTGGAGACCAGAGGGCACCTTCGTCGCCCTGATACTTCGCGCCTGAGCTGGGCCGGTTCGACGCGTATTCGAGGCTCTTTCCATCCGACCCGTCGCTCGCACCTTTTCTGATGGGCTGGATTGGCAGCAAAGCAAGACGAGCGCATATTTTCGAGCTTATGTTTCACGAGCTCATAATCAGATTTGAACGGGTTGACGAACAATCAGGAGACGTCCACAAGCACTCGTGAGAGAACATAGGGTCGGCGACTTGGAGTAGAGTAGGATATGGCCATTCTACTGGCGTTTTTCTCGATGAATCCTGCTTGTAGAGCCGCAGAGCACGACTCGAAGCTACGAGAATACATCGGCAAGGGACTGCGTTATTGCGGATATCGAATTTTCATGTCAAATTTACAGCTATCCAACTTGCGACGTCCGGGCGAATGATCAGCGGTAGTTCGGATGGCAACACCGAGCAGCGACGCACTCAGCCGCATCCAGACTTTGCTAATCTGTGCAGCACTGAGTCTGGACCAGCAGTCCGGTCGATGCCCGAGCGACTGACCGCCCATGCCCGACGGATAGGTCCCAAGCGCCTGGCCAAGTATGCTTGTAGAGGCCGAGCCGGTGATGTCGCGACACGGGTGAGCGATGACAAACTTGGATCTTCCCCCAAGTCCTTCTCAAAGCATGGACGCGCTCGGCGTGAGGACTGGAAGGCGTTCTCTGGAACGTGTTGTCGGGATCGCGGACTCGCTGAGGCGGGATGCCGGGCTGCGGGGTCACCCTTTACTATTTGTCTCCGCGAGTTTCGCACGATTCTAAATTCGTTCCGTTATTCCAGTCGCGTTGAATGACGGAAGCGAAGCGATTTTGGCGTTAGCGTGGACCGCTGCGGCAGTGACCTCATCATGATCCCAACACCGAGTCGTTCTCATGACAATCCGCAAGAGTCGCAGACGTTGACTCCTGGGAGAGGACTGCCAGAGCTCCGCTGGGTGCGTCACTCACCGACGATACAGGGGAATCAGCTATTTGCAATTTCAAGCTTAAGAACGATTCATGTTATGGAATGAAGCCTCAGGAAACAGACAATCGACAGTGCGAATCCGGGCCATATCCGTTCGTAATCGATCTGATGGGTCCCGGAGGGCGGCATCTTCCTTACGTTGTCTTACGACGCTCAATTAGCACAATCCCCAACGAACAACTCGGACTCTGTGTCCGCCAGTCAATGGCGGCATGGTCCGCAGCATCGACCGAGGGTAGTTTCATTGTTGCCGGGCTGGAGGAGATCGCGATTTGGATATAAAATGAGGCATCTGCGCTATCGACACATATCTCTCTCCTCTCATCCTGCTCGAGATGCCTGCAATCACCACTTTCCTTCGTCTTTCTGCTCTCGTCGGTGCAGCACTCGCGCTACCGAGCGACGTGAAGCGCACGACGTGCACGGTCAACAGCGTGGCGAGCTCGACCCAACTGAGCGGTGCTCGGACGTCGTCATCCAGGGCTTCACGGTGCCTGCGGGTAACACGATCACGATCGCTGTACGCGTCGCTTTGGTCCCTGATCTCGACTCGAATCCTCTCGGCTGACGCACGATTGTACCAGGCTGCACAGGGCGCGACGGTGACCTTGGCCGGCGATGTCGTCTTCGCGAAGACGACGAGTGCGCGGTTTTCTTGTCGTTGGGTGCAGTGCGGTCGTGCTGACTTGATCGCAGCCGCTGGTCCTCTCTTGACCTTCAACACCCCCGCGATCAACTTCAACGGAGGAAACCACACGATCGACGGCAACGGTGCGTCGTACTGGGATGGCCAAGGAACAAACGGGGACCTTCAAGCCGCACCCCTTCATCAAGTATGTGTGCAATCGATCTTTTTTTCTGTAGAGACGCGGAGGTCTCAATTCGCGCGCGCTAGGTTCAAGGGCTACGGCACATTCGAGCAGTTCACCGTTCTCAACTCGCCGGCCCAAGCGATTTCTGTCGGGACCACTGGCGGCCAAACCAACATCTCCCAAGTCATCGTCGACAACTGTGAGTGACTTTGGGGAAACTCTATGCCTCGGTGCTGACTTGCTGCTCAGCTCTGGGTGATTCCAAGGGCGGCCACAACACCGACGGATTCGACGTGAGCGCCAACGACGTCACGATCTCGTCCTCGACGGTCAAGAACCAGGACGACTGCCTCGCGCTCAACGCGGGGAGCAACATCGTCTTCGAGGACAACACCTGCGCCAACGGCCACGGCATCTCGATCGGCTCGATCGCTACGGGCAAGAGCGTGACGAACTTCCAGGCGCTGCGCAACACGGTGACGAACAGCTTGTACGGGATCCGCATCAAGGTCCAGGCCTCCGCGACAATGCCAACGTTTCCACGTCCTCTACGAGGGGGTGCGTGTCGCGCGTCGCGTTCGGCACAACCAGCGCGTATGCTTATTTCCCCACAGCAACACTTTGACTGGGATCACATCGTACGGAGTCTTGATCACGCAGAGCTACCCCGCCAACAACGGCACGCCGGGGTACCGGTGGACCGATCTCCGACGTCCGCTTCACCGGCTCGCCGACGACGGTGTCTGGAACCAGCAACGCATACGGGCTGGTCGTCGACTGCGGTGCCTGCACGGCACCTGGGACTTTTCCGGCCTCCAGATCCTCTCTGCGGGCAAGGGCCACACCCTCGCTCTCGACCGAGCAACGGTACGTTCAGCCTTCTGCATTGCGTGGTCTCGATTACGAACCAGTTTTCTGACGCGAGTACAGCTCTCGGGTGGCAGCTACTAAGTGCCCTGTTCTCGTCTGCGGCCAGTTCGAACGCACAGCACATGGCTGACCGCTCCTTACATTCATTACATCCTCGCCTTATAATGTTTTAAATATCTCTACATAGTCGGCTCTCGGTTTCTATCAGAATCTAATCATTGCTGTAACCACGTCGAGCGAGCGCGGCTATCCTGGGAGTGCCAGAAGTGTGATGTTGACATGACGCGCAATTCGAACTGGAATTGATCTCGACCTTCCAAGGTGAGTTGCACACAAACCAGGATAAGATTAGCCCCGGGGGTCGTTCCTATCTTCTAGCCATTGAGGGCGACAGTCCATCACATCACACTCAGTCAGTGAGTGTGCTGTGTCTAACAGGGGCCCATCAGAAAAGGGGAGGCTGTGCAGATGTCTGTCATTCGAAAGTAAGTATATATCTAACCGTTTCTGGTCATGCCACATCCACACGCCAGCCAGATGGCCAAGCCTCACGGAGAACGCGGAGAAGGAGCCCAGAGGCTGCAGAGCCACGATTTCGCGAGCGATAGCGCAGGAGGATCTGCCAGGTGAGTGCAGCGGTGGCGAGTCACCTCGTCTGCTGTTTGCCCTGACCACTGCGTCCGTGGCATGTTTGACAGTCGAGTATCTGGAGAATTGGCACGGCTCGAACCAGGCTCCCTGGGTGAGCCCACTGCTTCCCCGCGCAAACACGAAGAACGTCGAATGACTGACCCACCGAAATCACTCGACAGTCCCATCTGATTCTGAAAAGCCTGCGTTGCGCACCCTGACTTTCTGGCGCACTGGCTTTACAGTGGGAGACGCTGGGTCACTGATGCGCTACGATGAGCCGGCCAATGCGAGCTTGCTGGCCGCCATCAACGCAGGGTCCGTTCTCTGTTCTGCCGCGGCAGCGTGCGGCTCCTGATGTGGATCGTTCGAGCGTTTTCAGAAAAGCTCCACCGGCGCTGTTCGATGTGCGACCCGGTCAGCCACTGGAAGTGCGCGTGTCAGACAGAACCCGGAAGAATACGAGTTCAGGGCAGGTCACGGAGCACAACAGTGGTCTCCGGCATCGTAAGCCAGGGGCAGAGATGGACGCGTCGTGATGCATGAATCCACTGTCGAACGTGCTGCAGAGCCAGATTAGGGGTCAAATCATGGATTTCGAGTGGTTTTTGCATCTGAAAGCCCCAAAAGATTGACAAAAGCAAAGATGAATTAAGACTGAGGATGGCATT